GATGAAATTTATTCGGATATATCCGTTTGTTACTGTATAATTGGATTATATTTAATCGGATATCTTTCTCAGTGTAAAAAGAACGCTTGCTTATTAAAATATCTAAGAATTTAATCAAACTGCGAAAGAGAAGCTGTCCTGTATTACACACTTTTCGAATCTTCGTTCGTTAGAAGAAGAACATCTTCTCGCACGGTAATTACTCATGGCCGCGCTGAGCGAAATCGCGAGTTGGGTATCTCCGAGTTTTTCTTTTACCCGAGACGGCGAAGCGAGTTGTCGTATAACCGGTATCGTAACCTCCCGTCATCGACGATGCGCAGGTGGCTTTTTTAGTTTTCGAAAAAAAAAAGAAACGGATCGCGCGCGATAATTTTCTTCCTGGACGTCCGCGCGATCGGAATAGCGCGGGCCAATAAATCAGTTTTGCATACGCACGTCTAACTCTCCCCTATCAGCGAGATATCCAACGAATTAAACAGATATGTTTCCCCGAGAAAAACAGTTGAATTGCAAAAAGGATAAGGCTGCGGACTGCCGCGATTAAACTGATTGAAATCTCAATGGATGCAACAGGCGCGCTTAACGGTATCTCTTTCGCGTGAGGATAAGGTGATCGGGTTTTCGCGTGGTACGGAACGTGCGATAAATATCGTAGGCTAGACGTCGTGTGTGCAGAGAGGAACATATATGTCTTCATACTTTGAGCGCCAGGCACCCGATTTCAGCAGCGAACTTAACAAATCTAGTGCGTTATTTCAACGTTTTGCTGCTCTTTTAGTGGCTCAGATTGGTATTTGAAATTTTCAATTTTTTACTCGCGTTAAATTTGAATCTGGCTTAATAAAATTGCAAAATTCTCGATTAAAGTACGCACAAAAACAAAGCCGGAGGTTCCCGACTCTGTATAAAAAAACACGAAGAGATTAAAAATATCACTTTATAAGCAATCGTGGCTTCACGTGGTGATATTTTTAATTTCTCTTCGTTTTTTGCTTTCTCATAGAGGAAGCTTTGTTTTTTGGTAAGAAAAAGTCTAGAACCTTCGCTTTGTTTTCGTGTACTTTAATCGCGCGGAGGAACCTTGTAATTTTATAGAGCCGATTTCAAGTGCGACACGAATAAAAAATTGAAAATTTCAAACACCAATTTCTTTTTTACTAGACTCCCGAACTGTGTTTCAAGTATGAAAACGTTCTGCTATGCGGTCATCCTGACATTGTTTTGTGCATAAAAGCCAATGACGAGATTTACAAGCGTAGAAACTACACTTGACTGTGTCGGTAAAAAAGATGACTTTAGGGGATCCTCGCGTCACCCGAAAATGGATGGCGCTCGAGGCGTTGAATGGGTCGAAATCGCGGAAACCGCAACGCAATAATATCGCAAAGACTGGACCGACGGCTATTTTCCTAGGACCGGCGGACACTTAACGTCAGGCCAAAAACGTCCGGCACGTTGTGACGCGTTGTGTACGGGACCCAATCTCGATCCGCTTCTTACGTCCTCGATTCGCGGATTTCGCGAGCCGTTTCTCAGCGCGGATTTCACATTTGTCGCAAAATTTCTGGAGCAACGGCACATATAAATAGGCACCGCTTGCCTCAGCGCGCGAAAATAAGTTGGGAATTGCCTAAGGGTGGAGCGCGCAAGACGGATGAGCTGGTTATGAATTTTACGCCACCCGTATCTCTGCAACGTCGCGACGTCGGCCGAGAGATATTGAAGCGGATTTACGGCTCCGAAGTCTCCGCGCGAGCTGATAACTTTACCGCGTCTCCCCCCCCCCCCCTCTCTCTCTCTTTCTCTCTCTCTCTCGCGTGGAATTAATCGTCGAAGGTGCACTGCGAACTCGCGCGTGGTACTCGTTTATTATTTCATTACGGAACGTTAGCGGACGCGATCGCGTAACGACGCGCAATTATCCGAAGTAACGATAGTTTAATCGCGCGGTCCGGCTCTATTTGCATTTATGCATCGCGCGCGCTCGCTACTTGAAGCCGCATTAGAGTCAAGCCCGTCTACTCGGTACTCGGTCTAAAAATGGCGATCACGTAACGCATCGGCGATACACCCGGCAGTCGTATTCTCATCGTAACGGCATTTCTTCGCGTTCGCGCGGCGCGGAGGAAATCCAGCTGACGGGCGGGCGTTTATCGGCCGCCTCTGTCGTCGCCGACGACGGAGCCCACGTGGCCTGCGACGGTGCCGCGCAGTTTATCGCCCGATTCCACGGGCGAGAATTTCTCCGTCTCTCGGGGCGCGTTTAACGCCGCATTAGCTGAAAACGACGACGGACGATTAGCGCGCGACGTGATGTCCAAGCGGTTTCCCCTTTTTCCCCGGACCCGCCACGCTGAATCGCGCGCGCTGACCGCGAGCGATGAATCGCGACGAGCGGCGTCGTGATTCACGTCGCGCGGATAGAGAAAGAGCGACAGAGGAAGCGAGAGAGAGTCCAAGGGGGGGGGGGACTCGTCAATACCGTCCGCGTCTTTGTAGGAACGATTCCTCAGCTTCCGAGCGATACGCGGTCACGGATCGTGGTGTCTCACCCGATTACACCATCGGTGATCTCATGCCATCGGCGTCGCCGACGCCGCGTACACCCACGTGCGCGCATGTGCCCGCGCGCATCACGTGACGCTCCGATGCCATTCGAGTAATCGAGATTTCGCCTCTGTGACCGACGGCTCTTATTATTATTGCTCCACGCGGCGCGCATCTTGCGACGTAAATGTGGCCGCTACGTTGACATTGAACCAAGATACACATAAGAGTTCTCTCTCTCTCTCTCTCTCTCTCTCTCTCTCGCGCTCTCTCTCGCTCTCTCTCGCTCTCTCTCGCTCTCTTTCGCTCTCTCGCTCGCTCGCTCGTTCGCGTATCCGACACTCGTGCAACTACACGTCACACAAACACACACACATCACGAATTTCGGATAGTGCACGAGGAATTGAGGAGTAGGGAACTGATGTAAGAAAGATGGAAAGAGAGAGATAGAGAAAAGAGGCGGGGGGAGAGAGAGAGAGAGAGAGAGAAAACGCCAAGAGCGACGGTCAGCTGATGTCACGCAGATGGGCTGGTGAGCCGCGCCGTGCTAAAAGCGGCTATGATGCCCTCCTTTATTTCCCCTCTCCTTCCCCGGCCGCTCTCCTCCTCCTCCTCCTCCGTCCCTGCTCAACTGTTTTTCTATCTGCGTCTATCCGTCCGCGACTGCAATCCACGTATCTGTGTTTCCCTCTCGCGTGAATTCCTCGCGCCTCCGATCCTCCTGTCGAGAGAAAGAAAGAGAGAGAGAGAGAGACACGCAGGCCCCGCGGGCATACCACGAATCGCCGTGACGCATCTCCCACCTCTCCCTCGCGACTCTCGAGAAAATCGCGGTTGTTGCGCGAGATGACTCGCGCCGAGAGACTCGGCGTGTATGCGTGGTAAAGGATCTGACGTTTTCCATTCGGAATAAGTGTGACAACTAGCGGCGTGTCCGTAGCCGAGAAATCGCCTCCCGGCATCTCGGATCGCCGCGCCGATAATGCGCCGATTTGTTTTCGTCGCTCCGCACGAACGCGACAATGTCAATTAGAGACGCGTCAATTAGACAATCGAGAATTTTTTTTTTATGTCGAGTCAAATCGAATTCCACTCCCCTTTACCAAGCCGCATCGGCGAGATTCGAATTTCACCCGAATCGAATCGTTAAAATGTAATTTGTAAACCAACAATTAGATTGAACACGTAGATGACAAGAGAATATTCTGATGTGGAAAAGCAATATTGATTGTATGTATAATATAAATTCGTCTCGAGATAAACATATTTAAGTATCGAATTTGAAACTAATAAAATAGAATACTCAAGGATTAGATCGACCAAGGCTAGCAGTTTCATTTTAGTTTAAATTTTACCAGCGCGTCTCTAAAGGTGGTAAAATTTAAACTAAAATAAAACTGCCAGCCTTGGTCGATCTAATCCTTGAGTATTTTGTTTTAATTACTGGCGATACAACAATTCTAAATTTGGTCTAATAAAATATATGTTAATAACAATACGATTGGTATTTGAGTTATCTAAATTAAAAATTCTCGAATAGTTCAGATTCGAATGATGGAAACTCAAATTTTAGCCGATTTTCTCCCGTTTTGACTCCATTTGCATTAAAAAAAGAATTGGCGTGTCTCTAATGTCGACTCGCTTGAGATTTTCGCGGCGGTAACTTACTCTCCAATGACACAGTCTTCGAGCGGGTACTTAACGAATTTTGCGATCCGTCAAAGATCTCTCAATTACGGCGCGCGCACTCCGAGTTGGCGATATCGCGTTCCACCTGTCTTTCCTCGTTGAATAAAAACAGCGCGTCCATTGAGAGGCTAATAATCGGCTTCTCCTCAAGATAATCGAGTGGTTCATTAGAGGAAGCGAGCTTCGTGCGCAGTCATTAACTGCTATAAACGATTTATTGCGCGGCCACTGATCGATTCACTTGTGACTTTAAGGACGCGTTTAATGCAGGAAATATATTTGTAATTATATTTGCTCGACGTTTACATTTGCAAATTGAACGTAATTTTCTCGAGGGAAACCAAAGGGGGACAAAATTACTTGGCGCGATTTGTGTCACCGTATGTGAGCTTCAGCGGAAATTTTTCCGCAAAATTATTTCTACAAAATTATTACAATTAAAGAATTTCTAATTATTCGATGAAATTACCCTGCGATTAAAAAAGCGGGCACGTGACGTTTAATCTTATGCGTTTAAAGGACACACTTCGGGAGCGGATAGAGTTATTCGGGATGAAAGAGATAAAAGTGTAAACATGTACGTGCAGCTTGTCAAGTCTGGTTTTCGGATTGATTTATCCGACGAGTGAAACGATCTCGGGAGTGACACGAGACGTAGGTATTCTTGTACGCCGCTGCCGGGAGATGTTTGGCCTCCTAAATCGGGAGAAATTTTATGCGGTTCGGCTGGAATTACAGTTACATTGTACGTGATTTGCGGATGGTTTACGCGAAAAGCGACGGTTTGCGGTCACCGTGGGGCCCGGTGGCGTCGCGTGAGCCGCGGACCATCGGCACGGGAGGACGACGAGGAGCCGAAGAGGTCAGGCATGTGCGAGAAAGTGGGGCAGACGCGGAACGTTGACCTTTACGGTTACGGCGGATATACGTACGTTGTAAGAACACGACCGGGTTGCACGACGGGGCCCCGTCGCGATCCTTTTGTCGCGATACGCCGCGATTGTCGGTGCGCCGATCTCGAACACGGGACAAGCAAGAGTCGCCTTAAGGCCGAATCAGACCAGCAGTTGTCGACGCGGATTGGATTGGGATGGGCAATTGGCGATTGTCTTCTAGCCAACGAGAGCGAAGCAGCCAGCGATCTAGTCGACTCTCATTGGCTGGAGAACAACCGTCAATCGCCAATCCCAATTCAATCCGATTTGGCAATTGCTAAGCCCGTATCAGACTACGGATTGAGATTGAGATTGAAATTTTACCAATTAGAGTGAAAGTCACTAAACTTGAGATTAGTAAACTTTACTCTGATTGGTCAAATTTCAATCTAATCTCAATCTCAATCCGTGGTCTGATATGGGCTTTAGTGTGATTCGGCCTTTACGAGGCTGACCAGGCGCTCGGTTCTCCTCGACCGATCGGAATCGAATCGAAAGCGCGACTCGGTTTCCTTTTTAACACCAATCCCGAACTTGCGCACCAACGCTGCTTCAGTTACGCTGAGTTACATTTAATATTCGAATAACTCGAAGCGCAAAGTTTTATTCGCGAGGACGCTTGTAAACAAATTTCTTTTTAAATATCACATAATTAGTGAGATAATAACTGTATTTTTTTATTGTATGCAAGTTTTAGTAAATTCTTTCGTATACTAGTGGCTATTGCGTTTAAGTCAACAAGTTCTCATTTAATTAGTCATTTTGTTAAATTCAACGCCTGAATAAAAATGTATTTATTTCAGGCGGAAGTGTGAGTTTTGCAATTTTCGCAAGTGTCAAAGCTTACTTGAAGTAAAAGACCGGAGAATTTTTCGCTCAAGTGACAGAGGCAAGTCTTCCAATGCCACTTGTACGTGACAATCGCTCAATTGTTGTCAACCGTCCTGCTACCGAGAAGACGAAGGAACGAAGAACCGAGTAGGGCAACCTAATCCTTTCTCGTGATTTGAGAGGGAGAGCCACGCCCAACCGTTAGATTCGCCACGCCGTCCTTAGCATTGCGTTTAACGCACGGATAAGCTCGCGCAAACGCGTGCGTGCGTGCGTGCGCGCGCGCGACAGCATAGGTATGCAGGGACACGCTTACGCATTATCGCCATACAGTCAGACGCCGCGTATAAAGACCAATCGCGTGACGTATTATCGAATGAAGAATGCACGCGGTTCCATTTCGCTCGCGCTTCGTTTCGTTTTCCTCGTTAATATAACGGTCACCCTACATTCCTCGTAGATTGGCCCATTCAGTGTAATCGGCGTGTCGCGCCAAGACCCCGGTCTGAGCTCGTCGTGGAATTCTTCCGTCGAAAGTACCAGCGAAATCAAGCCGATTCCGTCTGAAACGGAAGAGGGGCCAATTTTCGTACGAGAAAAACGGGCATCCGGTATCCCGAGTCGAGTACTTGGTCCCGGAATCGGCCTCAATTATTCTATTCTGCCTTCATTCGGGCCTCGGAGTCGGAGTTTGAAACTCCGATTTGAGGCCCAGAATGAGTAAAAACAATTGTGTTTAATCGCATTCTAACCCTCAAAGAGAATGTAATAAAATATTGCACCCTCTTTGAAATCTCTTAGACCGAAGAGGATCCACTGAACCTCTGTCGATTACACTCGCGTTGGCCTCTTTACTGCTGAAAGGGAAATAACGTCTCTTTTTAGGCCTATCTGAGGTCAAAAATTCAATACGTTTTCTCCGACACAAAGACCTTAGTTCGACGTCGTTGCTGCCAATTTAAAAATTATACGATGCTAAACTGAGGCCAGAATATTTGACTCGGGATACTTTCGGATGTCCGTTCTTTTACGTCTAAGTCCCGGTTGCACCAACGTCATGTAACTTTTAACTTTAGCTTAGTTCACTCTTCGTCTCTTTCCATTTCCCCAGGAAAGAGTGAATTAAGCTAAGGTTAAAATCAAGCGACGTTGATGCAACCAGGTCTAAGTAACGCCAGGACTTCTTTACGGAATTGGACTCTCAGGGAGGAGTCAATTGTGTCAGAATTCGGGGTGTCGATTTTTCAGCTTAGGTGAACCGGAACGCTCTCGCCGGTTCCTCGATTCTCCGAACTCGGAGGATCCACGAGTGCAACTGGGGGGTCAATTCTGTATCTCGCACCATAGCGAAAATGCTAAAAGTGAGCGGCTTTGTCTCTCTTTTTTTTTAAGGGGACTATTGGAAAGAGACAAGCATTTTCACTAGTGCAAGATACAGAATTGACCACCTGTTGACGATCACGTATTTATCGGATCGTTCTTATGTTACAGAGATCGCGAAGGTGCGGGCGAGCCTTTTTCAAATCAGCGGAGTGAAGAAAGAGCCGCTCGTCTTGCCGGAGCCCGAGGGCGACATCACGACGCTCACGGAGAAGGTCTATGTGCCCGTTAAGGAACACCCAGATGTAAGTACTGCGACATACTGACGCGCATGTGTAGTGTAATTGGCGTATCTCTCAGATTATCGTGACGAGATTCGAGAAATTCACTTGAGGTGCGAGGATGGGGAGATTCCGCGGAAAGTGAGCGAGGCGCTTTGCCGCTTTTATCGAGAGAATTTACATTTAGTCAGCTAATATGTGCATGCGTCAACTAATGGGCGACAACCGAGGCGTCGCTGAAACTAAATATCTGTTATTTTGTAACGAGTGGACGGAACGAAATGAATTAAACGCTACTCTGCGGGAGAAACCCGTCATTTTCATCGGCGCACAGTGCGAGGGGAATGTCCATTTGTCAGTTCGCTTAAATAAACCGAATTAAAAGAAAAGCGAAAATTTCGCTGGTCGTGTGATTCGGTGATTGTGCGTTCGGAAGATCTCGGCTATTTTCACGAAAGGAATTCACTTTAAACTCTTCAAAGGCAGTCGTTAAGTATCAGAAAGTGTATTCAAGACACTAGTAATTTTTTATAGTCTTCAAAAGTGTCTCGTTTATTACATGAGTTCAGATGGTTTTATTATGAAAAACGTATCGCCGGACGATGCAACCGGCCGAATTGGTCCTTTTTTGATTTATTACTTTTTTATTGACACTTTGACGTACCGATCAAATCGGGGACTAGATTCTTGAATTTATTCGCAAGAGAAACGTACGCGCAAATTCTGCTCTTACGGAAAAGTTGATTCGTTATCTAATGGCTTTTAGCTAGAATGCACATACGTTTCTCTTGCAAATGAATTGAGGAATCCAGCCCCAGGTTTCTTCTGCCGTTTTGTCCGCTCATCGAGAAGAACAGTTATTTAGTTTGAGCGACCACCGATTGTTACTTTGTACACGGAAAAAATGATGTATCAACAAGGTCAGTGTAATTGAAGTAAAATCGTTGAAACAACATCAGTATTAATGAATGAAAAACGTCGGATAGTTGTCTTAATAATCTGGATATTTAGTTCAGTGTTTAAACTTACAATCCAACAAGTACAATTCAGTGAATTATTTATGTTTGTGGCAGCCCGTGAGGTCAACGTTTAAGGTGGCTCCTGCATAAATCGTTTAAAAGTAGAAAAAATTGAAAAGGTATGCAAGTTTTATCCATCAGTACGCGAACTTTCAGACTCGGTCGCCGACGAAGAAAAATGTTAAAGGTATACTTTTTAACACTCCAGTAAACACCAAGTAACAGTTACGTAACATTATATTATAATTTCCTACTCGACAAGATCAATGTAATTATATACCACCCATATATGTTATATTGCATTTACACTGTTAAGTAGGAAATTATAATATGATGTTATGTAACTATTACTTGGTGTTCACTGGAATTATGGGCCGACTACTCGCAGAAGCGGGTTATTAATTAACCTTTGAGGGTTAATCTAGAAAAAGTAATAGATCTTAACAAAAAACGAAATAAACACAATAAATGTTGCAGGCTTCAAATGCGCTATTAAATGTACACTGATAGAAAACAGGGTTGCAGTTACCACAATCTCACTATAATTTATAGTCATTTTTTGGAGCCAACCACCAATCAGTGTATGAGATCACCGACCACTGCAAGCAAGTACTTATTAGTAAAGTCAAAAGATAAAATAAGATGTTTTGAGGAAACGTGAAAGCTCTTTGAGACTTGACAACATCACACATTTTTAAATGTGTTTTAAATGCGCATACATAACCTAGCATATCAATGCGTTAAGTGGTATTTTTTTATGAAAGTCATATACATTTACAAAAATAAAAGGAGCCCCACGAAAGCGTCCATATTAACCGCTTCTTCGTGCAGGAGCCACCTAAATTCAAGCAACCTCATTTCTGTTCACGGTGGCTCCTGCACAAAGGAGCGGATAGTATGCCTTAGTGGGGCCTCTTTTATTTTTATAAATTCACGTGACTTTTATTTAAAAAATCACTTATGCATTAGTGATCACATTCATTGATTTGTAAGTTGTATACATAAACTGAAAAAAATTTCTGGTTGAATATGGACGAATCAGATAATTCCTTTAGGATTTACCAGAATTCCTTTAGGATTTACCAGAATACCTGTAATCACAGAAATCAGATAATTCCTTTAGGATTTACCAGAATTCCTTTAGGATTTACCAGAATTCCTTTAGGATTTACCAGAATTCCTTTAGGATTTACCAGAATTCCTTTAGGATTTACCAGAATTCCTGTAATCACAGAAATTCTGGTAAATCCTAAAGGAATTATCTGATTCGTCCATATTCAACCAGAAATTTTTTTCAGTGTATGCGCGTTTAAAAGTATGTCACGTCAAATCTCGAAGAGCTGTCAGATTATTTGTCCTCATTTGCTTGCATAGGTCGATGACCTCATACATAGCGCACTTGAATCCTTATGATATTTATTATCTTCATCTAGTTTTTTGTTAAGATCTACTTTTTCTATGAAATAATATTGACCCTCAAAGTGCTTCTGCGAGTGATCGGCCCAAATTTCTTTCTCTCTTTCACTTCATCGGCGACCGGGTCTAAAATTTCGGGTGCTGATAGATCAAACTTGCGACTACAGTATAGTTAAATTTTCCATTTTTTCTACTTTTGGTCGGTTTACGCAGGAGCCACCTTCGACAGCATTTTTTCCCCCGTGTATGTACATAACTTGTTTCGTGTGTATCGCACGCGTGAACGGTTGTCGAGTCTCCCGAAAAATCCCCGTCATCGAGAGTCACGTTTCGTCGTCGTTTTGAGGGAGGGTGACTTCGCCGCGGGTCCCGCGGCGCGAGAGGAAAAGTATCGTTCGCCGATCTCGGGAGACGAGATCGAGCGATGCGCAGCGTGCACCGAACATCGAACGCTGAACGTTATTTCTGTAACGCCCGAAATAGGGTTCGCGCCGAAGAGACGACTCCCTTTCCTTCTCCACGCTCCGTTTCCTCGTCTCGCTCGCGTGCGCGCGCGCGCATCTACGCGTTGGCTCTCATTGAGACGTAATAGCCGGGTCGTAAGCTTATTAACCCTTCGAGCGGGCCTCTCGATACTTTTTCCCCGTATAAATTGCGTTGAAATATTTAATTTATTTAGAGACGAGCGAGGTGTCGCTTGACGGGAATCGGCGGGACAAAAATGACACCGACTCTCGCGCGCACGAGAGCGATCGGTGATCGCAGGCGTCGGCGATTATTAGCTCATTACGTTCGGCCTCTTGCGAATGAATGATCGATCGATTCGTCCGTTATCGCGCGACGTGGACGACGCGCGGTCTTCGCTTCGTCTGCCCATCGACTCGACAGTTGTCCGATTATCGCGCGCCGATTTCACGCCGATTGGCAGTTTTCGACCATGCCTCGCATTATCTGTGCACGGTTCTTATCGCCGTCGAAAAGGACGGCGTGATGCGCCTAGCACGGTGGCACGCCTTATCTTTCGGAGGGATCGCGTGAATTTGCATGAAGCGTCAAGATTGCTATTATTATGCGTTACGTCTTTATTTGAGATTACGTCCTTCCTCGAGATAAATGAAAGAGGGCCTGCCTCTAGGATGTTACAGTCTCTCCCCCCCGTTGTAGCCTTCCCTCCCACTGCGTTTCGTCGTTTTAGACACGCCTCAATCACATATATTAAAACTTCCAAGCTCTCGGGTATTTTGGAAAAAAAAGAAGAAAAAGAAAGAAATGGGGGCCAGCAGCGGGCTTAAAGAGCCGCGGGTGATTCACCGTCTAAACTTATCTGCCTTTATTTACCGGGATCCAACAATGAAACTGGATATCTCTTGGAACAGGTCTTTTTTTTTCACACGATCCGTACAAGCCAAATTTAGCGCGTAGCGTTTCGCGGATAAACGATTATGTATGTTATCATTTGCGAGTTTATTATATGCCATTATATAAGTATAAAATGTACGCACTCGCAGATACTTGTACATAAATCGTTGAGGAAGCGTCCTGAAAACGAAGCGACAAAGGATGATGTACACGGAGAGAATTTTCTTCTAAAATTTAGCCTGAAGCTTATGTAATCGTGGGACAATACGGCATTTTGAAGAATTTTCTGAGACTTTTTTAAATACATTTTACTAGTAATTATACGTAGCATACATTTTATTAGTAAAATGTATGTAAAATGTTCAAGTGCCATGTTGCCCCACGATTACATGATTTGCAAGGTGAAAAGGAGGCAATGCTCTCCGTGTATGTTATAATTTGCGAGTTTATTATGTGCCATTATACATATGTGTATAAAATGTACGCACTCGCAGATATTTGTACATAAATCGTTGAGTACTTAAACGTCCTAAAAACGGAGCGGTAAATTTAGATAAAGGGAGCGAAACCTCCGTTATCGTCTCGGTCCCGTCGAATGTTTTTAGAATTAATTATCTTTTGTAACGTTGATTGTGCGAAGATAAAAAAGAATTTAATCGACTTCCCCGTGTGATTACAGTTCAACTTTGTCGGGAGGATTTTGGGACCGCGCGGTATGACCGCGAAGCAACTGGAGCAGGAGACAGGATGCAAAATCATGGTGCGCGGGAAGGGATCGATGAGGGACAAGAAAAAGGTAAGAATCTCCTCGTTAAACTGAAACTTCCCCTCGCCTTGTCGTGCGAAGTCTCTTTGGGGGGAAGTTCTCTCCGCAGCAAACTAATTTCGAAATTGTTATTCAAGCGTTTGAAATTAATTACGGTTGCGGACGATGACAGCTGTTATCGATTCTACTGACCATAGGTCCGTTCTCTTCAATCGCGCCTCATTATACTTCTTGTTTAACCCTTTGAAGCATACTATTGAACCGGTTTTTTTTTTAAACTTTGTTTACAAGGGTTTTGGGGGTCGCTGATTACGAATCCGTTATCAGATTTTCATAATTCAAAATAGCGGAATTCAAAACGTAAAAGAATAATCATTCAACTGTAATTCAACTATGCTAAGAAACATTATTTAGATATTATTAGGACCCATGGAATATGAATTCCAGTTGAAAATTCTTATAGAATATAAAAGATAGCGCAAAATTTGCCGATTTCAGATTCTTACTTATAAAGTGTTATTTTCTAATTGTACACCTGATCCGTAGTTTCGAATGAAAACATCGAATTCGTAATCAGCGACCTAAGAAGTCCCTATATACCGTAATCAAACGAAAATGCTGAAAAACTTGAAAACTTAACAAATTCACGTACTTTGCATCCGCCATTTTGGGTCGGCCATTTTGAATTTTGAAAATCTGACATTAGATTCGTAATGACCGAAACCCCCTTTGTACAAGGTTTTCAAGAAATAATCTTAAAAAACTTGTTCAATAATGAATTTTTCCGAAAAAATTTTTGTTTTTTTCATATTTGTTTATTTATAAAACTCTTATAATAAATAGTAAAGACTACTCAACTTTTTTATGTTCTTTTATTACTAAGATACCCGAAAAATGCAAAAAAAACCGACATAATGCGTTAACTAGAAATTAAATGGCCAAAAGGTAAAGAAGTTGAGGTGGAAACTTGGGTTACCGTCATGCTTCAAAGGGTTAAGAGGAACGTTGTGCGTACAGAGTGTGGAGAATTGGAGTTGCGATATGAATTGTACATAAATAACATTTTCTGACCAATGTCGGAGAGTCAATGCGAGCTCTAAGTAAAGAATGCTTGCTACGAGTATCGGGAGGATCGTGTCGGGGACAAGTGGGGTTTGTAATTAATCATGAGTGATCCATTAAAACGTCGTATTTTTTTCAAGCTGCACATGGTACGCGAGCGAAATGCTTTCTCGTAAGTATACACGTAGAAACGAACCCAGTATACAGTTCGATGTGAATTTGATGTGTATCTGTCGTTTCCTCGCCGATCGACAATCGGCTAATCCATTCGGCAGTTATTATCGTCGCCATTCAATTTGGTTAACAAAGGCCCGCGATAAAAATCCACGTCCAGGGTCGCCGGGTACAGGCGGAACGAAATTTGTATTCATCACGCGATCCTGCTCCCCTATTTATTTCTACTCCCAGGAAACCGAATCTTTACATTAGAATTGATATATTTAACTTATAATTCTACTATTCGAACATATCAATGTATATATTTTCTTTAATAATAACGGATGCCACTTTTTTATGTAAACTACGTCAAGTAAAGTATTGTAGTAGTGTACGTGTATTGTACGTGTATGCGGCAAGTGTTGCGTGCGTTATAACAATTGCGCGACGTGTTGGTTAACCAGGAGGAGCAGAATCGGGGCAAGCCGAATTGGGAGCACCTGACGGACGAGCTGCACGTGCTGCTCACTGTCGAGGACACCGAGAACCGTGCCACGTTGAAGCTCGCCCGTGCGGTCGAGGAAGTCAAGAAGCTACTTGTGCCCGTGGTGAGAAAGTTCCAATTGTATACCCTTCCCCTCTTGTAGACGCTAATAGCCCCGCGCGCTAAGAACGAGAGGGGAATCTCGCCGGGAGACTTTCCCACAAACGCACGGTTTTTTTTCCTCTTTTCTCTCTCTCTCTCTCTTTGCTCCCCAGTTTCGAATCGAGCCTGAAAACTCGAGGGAAGCAAGCGGTTTGCGTGCTGGGTGGGAGAGAGAGAGAGACCAAAGCTTTACCGGCAAACATGAGTTTTCTTCGCCAGCGATTAAATAACAGACGAGTAATATTATTCAACCAGAACTGGCAGAAACTTATCGCGAAAAATATTCAGCCACTGAGCCTCATTGGTCAAACTGGTGAGACGCCCGCTTAGAGTGAGGGAGGTCCAGATTCAAACCCAGGCTGAGGTAATACTTTCGCGATAAATCTCTCGCCAGTTCTGGTCGAATGATACAACCTGTCTTTACCAGCAAAATTAAGAGGAGGAAAAATCGTCGCGACAGGTTTTCCCCTTCGGAAATGGCGTTATTGTAAACCGAGCTGTCGAAACGCCCGAAACGCATGCCACTTCCGAAGTGAGTGGCCTCGAGTACGTTAACTGTACAATCGGCGCTTTCATATGTAAATGGAAGAGATCCGTACAATGTCGAGCTCCCCCATATCCATTCGTAGGATAATTATCGTTGCACCTCCGGTGGTGGGTTCTGACGGTAATGTCGATTGTTAGCAGGCTGACGGCGAGGATGAGCTAAAGAAGAGGCAGCTAATGGAACTCGCCATTATCAATGGGACTTACCGGGATTCGAACACAAAGGTTGCCGCCGCGGCAGGTACCGTTCGCAGAACTTGTCTCATTATCATGCGCGCTTAAGAGCCAACGGGGTCACGTTCCGCGAGAATCGGGGAATCGCAGGGCCGAAGATACGCCAGACTCGCGAAATAGACTTTCTAACGAGACGTCCAGTTATAGACTGTCTCTTTATCGCAATCGTAATTTATCTCGTCGCGTTAGAGGAACGTGCGATAATCGACGCATGACGCATTTAAGGATAACGACAACGTAATGGACTAAACGTTGACCCTCGTCCCGCGCGTTAGCGGCTAATCTATAAAGCCAACGGCACACGATACTATTTTTCCTACTGGATTGCGCTTGCGAGAGCCAACAAGGATGCAGAGTTTTAGATCAGACGACTTAAGGTTGAATCCTGATTGGCTCTCGTAAGTAATCCAGTAGGGAAAATAGTATCGTGTGCCGTTGGCTTAAGTGAAATAATTCTCGCGAAGTGACGCGGCTGCGTCTTCGGCCGAATCCGGGATTCCCAGTACACTGCTTGTCGAAGGAATTCTCGTTTAGACAAACAGTTGTAGATATTAATGCTCACGATTCTGGCGTGGCTAGCCGAGAACAAGTAGTAACGGTCGCGGAGAATCTGACCTTAACTTAAACTCAGTCCTCTTCGGCCGGTAATTAATTTTATTTTGTTCTTCCGGAAACTAGTTTAGTTGGTCGCTCCGAGTTCACCAACGTCGCTCAACGTTAAGCTTAGCTCAATTCGTTCTTTGTCTCTTTCCAACTGTTACTCTAGATTGAAAGAGACAAGCATGATTTAAATTGTAAGATTAAAGTTGAGCGACGTTTGGAGAAACCGAGACTAACTTGGACCAAGTTCTAGCATCGTGGACACAGGCTTGAAGAAAATTGGAGATAGTTCGATGAACGTTGTTTCAATCATTTAAATCTAATACACGTACAATTACAACTAACGTAAAAACAAAAAGTATTGTCTACACTAACAGTGTGGAACATCGGAGTAAAGGGTAAAATCTCTATCGTTCGAATAATTATGAGCGATATATAGTGCACTAGTGACTAGATTATGCGCGGCAATTATCGAAATTGACTCGAAGGTCGACTCGTGAACGAAGACGACATTTCAAGAGGCAAATCTTTCTGCCAGACTCCGTACTTTTCTCTCAGCTTGCCTGATCTCATTTCACACAATTTGCCAATAACAAGTCTGTATATTACGTTTATCGATCTGTAATATTGACACAAATCTATGTGCAGAGGTTTCTAATGTCAGATAGCAGGGTTTCAACACCCAAATTCAATCACAAATCTTTTTTTCGCAACGATTACACGATCTAACGATGAATTTTCCGCTAAACGTATTTCGCCCCGAGGGCAATAAATTCCTGGTGGAATCAACCGATGATGCCTATTAATTTAGCAGAAACCCCGCTATCTCATATTAGGACGCTATCTCATCAGAGGGGACTTTCCTCTACCATAATCCACTTGTCAGAGACGCGAATTTCAAGTTTCCCCTCTGAAGCTCTGCCTCCCTCGCGGTTGTGCACGCAGCAGTGTCCGGCTGCGCGGTGTCGTAACGCGGGTGTCGTCGTGACACGCTGTCATATTACGCTCGGAGCATAAGCCATTCAGCATCACTCGCTGTTGCAGCCTGCGACGAGGAGTGGCGGCGGGTGGCCGCCGCCGCGGCGGAGACGCAGCGCCTGCTGCCTGGCCTGGCGACGCCGATGCGGACCCCGAGCGCGCCCCTGGGCGCGCCCCTGATCCTGTCGCCGCGGATATCGGTGCCGACGACCGCCGCGTCCCTGCTGAACGGCTCCGGGCCGCCCGGCTCGCTCCTGTCGGCCGGCGACCCTCACGGGCTCATCTACACGCCGTACGCGGACTACGCCAACTACGCCGCCCTGGCTGCCTCACCCTTGCTCACCGAGTACGCCACTGCTGACCATTCTGGTGGGTTGTTTGCTCGTTGATCGCTCCCGTGTCACCGCCCCCGCGGCACGAGAGACACGGAGAGAGATGGTCGGGTAACGAGCGCCTCTCTCCTCTACGAGAAACGGGGAATTTTTATACGCGGACATGTTTTTTTTCTTTTTTAATTCTTAAAGAGAGATGCGCGCGCGCGCGACGGAGGGGATGAAGCCGCGTGCGCTTTTATTATTTTTATTATTATTATCATTATTATTATTAATATTATTATTATACCGCTGACGATTGGTGACTCTCCCGGCTCGGTTCCAACGGCGTTGGTGCTCTTTTTCCGGTGCTGCGAATGTTAAGCGATTAGACGAGCAACGCCCAGTCAGAAATGACTGGAAAACCAACGTCGAAACGATATCGAATCGATGCATTTTTGGTTCCATTTTCGACTTGGCTCGAAAATGGAACCAAAAATGCATCGATTCGATATCGTTTCGACGTCGGTTTTCCAGTCATTTCTGACTGGGCGATTAGCGGGAAGATCTTCCTCTGGAAAGCCGTCGTACGTTTTTCTAGTATTGTATTCGTACGTGAAAATATTCCGCTGACAATGAGGCAGTGGCCGTTGCGAAAGGTTGCCCGTCTAATCCCGGCACCAATTCTTATACGTGACACGAATTCGGAGATTAATTGTCACGGGAGAATGGAACGGGATTGCGGGCAGCGTTATGGCCGATATGGCGTCGGACTTAGCGAGACGCGACGGACGTTGCACTTCGGCGGGAGCGTCACCAGTCGACACGTGGCGCGTACACAATCACGTAAATTTGTAAGGCGATAATTGTTAATTACGAGCCGATCGCTCTTGTAGCCGTTAATTATGATTACCCACGTCGCATAGTCATGGTTATCACCTTCGCCTCTCATTATCCCGTTTATCCTCGTCGATCGTCGTCACCGTCTCACCGCCATTATCATCATCTTCATCATCATCATCCTCGTCATCGCCATCATCGTAGCGGTTAGCGAGTACTTTTTGCGAGGATAGCTTAGGGTTATAGGACACAACCGAAATCAGTCATTTACTAGTCGCGTCAGTTCAGATATATTATAATTACGTGAAAGCCTTAGCGTGTAATGTTATTATGCACCGCCTTCGAAATAATCGTGTCACGAAGATTCAGGGTTATCAATAGTAGAGCGGCAGGAACGCGAGCAGAACGGCTAGGCCGTGCTTCGGCAGGATTCTATCAGGAACGGTATATAGGCGTTAGGTATAGGAGGAGACGGGACGTACCGTACTCGCCGTGTGTGCTGTATCGCGTGCGAATGTAGCCATACTAGTCTGAAAGCTTTTCTTTCTTTCTTTCTTTTTTACCGATTTCGTGCCGTTCACCAGCGGCCACGTGTTTCGCCGTCCGGAATGCCTCTTCAGAGCCGCCTCGAGGGTAGCCGCGCGGTGCGATGTTCGCTCGATACAGGAGGATAAAAATATTCTGCCCGATTAAATGGAGAGATCTCGTATTTTCTTCCTTCCCTCGCGGGACTACGCACTACTCGCGGAGATTAGTCTGAAATTCAGACTTTTGTAACAGATTTTAAGACACACACATATATGTATATACATATGTCTCTCTTGATATAGAAAGTATCCAGGTGAAAACGGGAACAGATTATCTATGCATGCGAGAAAATATACTTTCGAGTCTGAAAACGTGGAATTTGGCAGCAGTCGGGATTGCTTTTATTGGATTTATGATTTTACATTGGCACTCCCTGACGGGAAACGCCGCTTGAAGTTAGAATATCGGTCTGATACTTTTCACCTTTCCGAGTATCGTGCTTATATATACACGGAGAGAATCTTCTCTTGAAATCTATCCCGAAAATCATATGGCAGCGTGGCATTTTGAAAAACTTTGAGGAGTGTTTTTGAAATTGTACCACACATTTTACTTGTAAAGTATACAGGGTGTACTAAAACCACCGGATATCCTTTTAATCATGGATTCTTTAGAAAATTTCAAGACGAAAGTTCTAACACAAAAATGTCGAGGCTATAATCACTGGTAAAATTTGCAAAAACTCTCACGAAATTCCTCGAAATGCCGCGATTACGTAAATTCCGAAAGAAAATTCTCCCCGCGTACATTCCGTCTGCCGGACTCGCGGGTATCCTCCTCGTACAGATCGGGCAAGTCTCGCACCGCGCGACGTAGACGCAGGCCAAGGGGATCGCGGGAGTCCAGCGAGGAGACGATCGCGTTGAACTCAGCGAACCGTTAGCCAGGGCCGAATCCCGCGGAGAAGAGTCCGTCTTCGAGAAAAGAAAGAGGAAAAAGGAAAAGGAGCGCGTCGAGATATTTCGGGTACGCGAGAAATCTCCCGTCCAGTCCTCCTCACCAGTATCCAAAGTACTTCCCGTCGAGTGGTACGAGTTACTGACTCACTCTGACGCGCGCGATGTTCGATGTCCGGGCCTGTTTAAAAGCCGAGCGAGAGACTGTCCGGGAGCTGTACCCCTGGACGCGTGTTCTTCGTCGCGACATACGTAAGATCGACGCGTCTTTCTTTCTCCCCCGATACAAAGGCATCCAGTTACCCGGTGAATGCTCGCGCATTCGCGTGTCTTTTAACGTAATTAAGCCGTAAGAGAATGCTCGATACACTCGGTACCCCCTTCACACATGTATATACGTATACACACGCACACACACACACGCACACATACTTACATAAACACACACACACACACATACGCGTATAACTTACGTTGGATTTTTTCTTACGGTTGATAAGAGAGTCCGTAACGCGCTGTCGCGCATTACTCAATGCAGTAATCAAAGGCCATTCTTGTTGTAGCTATTTTTACAAATAGACGTGCGTAGATATTACATAGATTTTCACAGAGGATTTATTATATATATTTATTGAAGTAGACGGTATTAATGTATTGCATAATTTAGGTTCTTCTTCTCGTAGCTTGTCTGTAGAGTTCGATTTGGTAGCTTCGACGACGGGAAGGGACGTTTCTTCTCCCTTGCTGGAGAGAATGTAACCGGCCACTTCAATCCGTCGACAGGGTGGGTGATGGTACACCGACCGAACCTTAGTCCGCGTTCTCTTTTTATTCTCTTCCTGCCCTTTCATTTCGTCTCGCGCGTTCCCGCGAGCACGTTCTCTGTCCAACGCTTCACTTAGAAATTGCACTTTTAACGACGACTGCAGCTACAGGAAGTACCACTAGAATCCCAATCGAATCCCTCGGGTTGACCCTAACACGCGACTAAACAACTAAGTAACTCGAAATCCGTCCACCTCTCCTACGTAACTCACTCTACGTTGCGTTCTACTCATATTTTCCCCCCCCCCCCCTTTGTCTTCTCTCTCGCTCCCGCCTCATCCGGATGAAACCGTACCTCTAATTACGTAACTCTTTGACGACTCTAGCGTAGTAATTACGCGTTTCGCCTAGCGCAGCGATAGTCATCTGAAAAGAGAAGAGAAACAGAACCGGGAAAGAAGAAGAGTGCGCTCGATCGTGAGACTTTTTCGAGGCAGAGAGTAGCTTTATCTCCTCCCCCTCCCCCCCTTCTCTCCTCTACGCGAGAGAGGAGCGTAATTTTCGCTGGATTTTCACAGCTTCGAATCGGTCGAGGTGATCGCCGTCGATGACAATCGGATTAGCGAGCAATTTAGCGAGGACTTATCGGTAATAAACACAAATTGGATCTATCGCGCGACACGCCATACGATGGCTGGTGATAGGTAGGCCTATATAATGTACGTAGGATTCTTTTTTTTTTCTTTAGACAGGCAATACATAGGTGGAGGGAGAATATTACCCCAGGGACCAAACAATATTTTGAGGACTGATGGTTCTAGCGTTTACTCGTCTAGCGAGTCCGGACGATACGAATAAGACTATGCGTCGAAAAAGTACTTCCTCTCTTTCTTTTTTTGTTTTCTTATCGCGCGTTCACGCCCCTCCCCCCCTCCCCCTCGCAAAGAAGCAAACAAAGGAGAATCGAATGACGACTTTAGCGCACGTATTTGTGCGGATTATTTGATAGACACGCAATACTCTTTTTGATGGCATAGTCTTTTAAGTAATATTTAAATATTTAAATATGCAAATCGTATATACACACACATCACACGCACGCACACATATATCATTATCGTAGCTATATATTATATATTATTTTATACGTTTATTTAATTTTATTTTTATAAAGATTTAGCCGTTTATATAGATATATTTATACGAGGTTGAGGGCCGAAGCAACGGGTAGATGTTAATCCCAATACTCATTGTTGTTAGGAACGAGTAGAATGGTTGGATACATTTTTCTAGCTTACATGACAAAGACTTTACCTGATTTCACTGACGAAAATCAAAAGTGTGATGTTGAGCCGCGCGCGAAAGAGCGAGAGGTTGCCCGGTTGTCAGCAATAGCTTCTCTCAAGTCTATATTTAACGAGTTATATATACATATATACACGCGCAAAAATCTCTCCGATGTACCTAGATACGAGCGTCGATACGAGCGGATAGGGAGGTGTCATATCTATTATATATGGTAGACTTTAATAGATAATAAGTAAGTATTGCATAAGTATGTAAGCTTCTCTCCGACGAAGCCGCGTCTCGCTTCCCGCGGGGAAGGCGGGGACCTTGTCTTTAACATGGAATTTCAGGGATGCACGATTTCACGGACGATTTACAGTATTCTTACAGAGTGTTCTGGTAGGCGAGCTTGCCCCGCTACAGGCCCAAAAGGGGTACGACCGAGCGTGAGCTCACGAGAGATCGGGACGGGCACGCGAGGCACGATCTGTCGCGTGTCGGGAAGACGTCACGCGAATCGCCGCTCTATCTTTGATGTCTCTGAATAAAGTGGTCCCGAGGTGACTCTGTCTAGTGACGACGTTAATAAACGACGCGGAATCGGTAACTGGATCACGAACGTTCTCCGAGTCGTGCACTTCGGCAGGATAGTGCAAAGCTCTCGGGGGACCAGCGCGGTACCTCCGACGTTCATTTCTATGTAGATTAACTTTTTGGCTGCGCTCCGCCGTTCACTGCCAATACTGAAAACCTACCGTTCGCGTCACGTACACTGTAGATTTTCAGTACCGGCGGTGAATACGCAGCCCTTGGGCTCTTTCCAGCTCTAGGAATTAGGAAAAGATAAAAAGTAGCGATAAACCGAGACTGATCTACGCTGATAGAGACTGACGTGGGTCTCCTTACTCAGAGACATCTCGGCGTTGTTCAACACCGAAGAGCGTTACCATGTTTCCGCAGTATTTTCGCGCGTGCCTCAGGCATTTAGCGGCTTCCGCGTCCTCGGCGTTGAGAGCCCCGGAGGGACGATTGCGTCAACGATCGTGAGCTCGCGCGTCGGTCGTAGGCTGGAGGTAACGATCAGCATTAATCCGACGACGCCACCGCGAGAGCCAGCGACGACGGGGGTGGCTTTCGCGTTCGGCGAAGCCAGGACGACTCTCGTTCTCGTTGACGTCGCAGCGGCGTCGTCGCTGGAACCCGTCGCACAAAGAAAAGGAAGGGAAGGGTTTCTTCTCTGCAAACGCAATCGTAAGTCAGTAAAATCGGTAACGTAAAAATGTGCGAAAGTTGCTGTGCCGGTGGACGCCGTCAAGTACCATCGGGCGGGGGTCCTAGACGAATCGAAGATGCGCCGCTCATGCTCGATACATTGAATGCCGTCACTTTACACCTTCGGTCGCGCATCTCTGATTCATCCAGGACCTCCGTCTTGGGCAGGAGACGCAGATTTCTTTGTGGCACGGGTTCCACCGCCCCGATGTGTGTCGACCTACTGTTTATTTCTTGTGCACTGATAATAGCGGCAGGATTCTAGATTTTTTTAGCGGGCCGAGACGAGCGGACGGGCGCGGATCCCTTGCGGGTCCGCGCGGCGAAAAGTGACGGTCCTGCTCGACCATACTCATGCTGTGTATATGTTGGCGACAGGCGCAGCGGCGGCCGCCGCCAAGCAGCGTAGGCACCTGGGTCAGATCCGCGAGCACCCTTATCAAAGGGCCGGCGCTCTCTCGTGAACACACAGAGACGATGCGAGTACACAGAGAGAGCGAGAGAGAGAGAGAGAGAGAAAAAAAAAGCGAGAGAGAGAGAAAGAGACAAAGAGCGAAAAAGAGAGAGACACAGAGCACTGTTCCCCGCGGAAAGGTTAGTGTCTGCACAGGCAGTTCTCAATTAAGTTCTCTCTTTTGTCCTCTTATTTTTTATCTTGTTTTCCACCAACGTCTTCATCTTCCTTGCGGTCTCGACGTCGGAATGGCCGAGGCGCTTTTCTCGTCTCGCGACCACCCCCTAAATCGGAAGATAACGACAGCGATCGCTAGAACTTTGGGTTGACGCGAGAGACTCGTCCCAGCTTCGTGTTAAAAGAAAATCGGGGGAGGGCGATTCTTCCCCAAGGAGAAATGAAAAGTCGAGATGACGTCAGTTTCGTGTCATATTGACCAAAATGTGACATAAAATTTGGTCAATGTGACGTGAAATTGACGCCGTCTTGACTCTTCGTTTCTCCTTGGGTCGGGAAAGAAGTTGAACGACCTCGCTCAGCTGAAAAGGACCACGTTGAAGCTCGTGGGCAGCAGGTCTTGAATCTGCTGGAGTCTCGATTTGGGATTCTTTTGCGTCGACCCGATGCACTTCCGTTTTGGCGAACGCCTCGAATATTTCGTTCGACGTTTGGATAACTTTTATCGTCGCGTACTTGTGATAAATGCAACGACAGCTATCTACATTTGACGCATTCCAACCGTGATTCACCGTGACTCTTCGTTGACGCCACTCGAGTGATTTTATATCGAAAAGAAATAATATTAAAAAGCAACGTTAAATTGTATTAAACGAAACATTTAATTTGTAGTGTTACACTGAAAGAAATGATCTTGCAACTGCAGCAACAATTTTCTGGGTGCGAAAAAATAACTGAGATATATAAATGAATAGCAAATATTGCGAAATCGCGTGTGTTTTGTATTTAATCGATTTAACAGAAACAGAAGTTCTATCTGAACTGTCCGCGAATGTTAGAAGTAAAGTCTTTCCGATAGCGTCCATTCATTATAACGTCTGATTGCGGTACATAAGCAGTTGGAGAAAAATTTTTTCGCAATAAACTTAGAATAGAATATTCAGACACTACCACCCTGTCGCGGCTCTGAGTCCTTTAAATTCTTTGAAATTTGTGTTTAACACATACGAGCCATACTAATTTAGTTAGAGAAAAGTCCTCTATTGCGAGATAGGCTCCTAATATGAGATAGCGGGTCTGTAAAAATTGTCTGTAGCCTGCTACAAATTCTCCGGGCTACAGACAATTTTCCAACAGATCCAAAAAATGGCGATAAATTTGTGTCGCAACGCCCAGAAGTCTGCCTGCGTTAGCAAGATATTTTTCGGAGTGTACAAATTCATGTTCGAATCGCGTACGAATATAGAAAAAACGTGACGTACGCGCTTGACCGTCGCCCCGTAACGATGACCGACAAGGCGTAAGCGGAAGGCGCGGTGTCGGTCCACCGGCGACCGTCACGGCGGCGAATGTGTTGAACAATAGCGAGTCCATCGCGCGAGCAGAGCGCCCAGGCCATTCCGACCAGGGATTTCAATATATTTATATATACATAGCTTTGTATCGTTCATGTATGACGAGACCCGCGCGGCACGCGCGCGCCCGGGCCCCTGCTTAGAGCCGCGTGCTGAAGCCGCGGCAGAGAACACCGGGGCCTCGCGCACGTGTCTCCGCTCCGCCACGAACGCGCGCTGCCGTTCGGGGAGCTTTCACTCGGGCCGCGGAGCCCCAGCCTCCGGCGGGCGAGAGCTCGGGCAGCGAGCGCGCGCGCGTCTCGTCCCTGTGTACCTGACGCCGCACCGATCGACATCGGTTGTGTCTCATCGGTTGAAGTAGCACTTCTCCTTCACACACGTATACATACGCGGATAGATTTCCGGTGACCGTGACGGAAGAATTGATTAATGTCGCAACATATCCCCCTGCCCACAAAAAAAGAGCCGGAGGGGATAAAAAGGGAAAAAAGAACAGAGGGAGGTCGAACCTTCCTCGGATCTTTGTAATGGCGGAGCACCGCGTAAACCGCGTAACTTTCATTTAGCCGCGGTAGAACGCGAGTCGAGGTGGCGGGAAAGAAAGGGAGGTATAAAGAGAGAGAGAGATATATAGAATCACTCACGGGCGAATTGACGCGTGGGTTGGAGGGAAAAAGAACGAGAGAGAGAGAGACTCGTTTCACTCTCGGCTTGGAGGGCCGCCGCGGGAATCGGGTGCTAGGCGTCCGGAATGTCGAAAGCGTGTCTGGTATTTCATGCGTCTAAAACGAACCGCGTGCAACGAAATCGAACGCGCGAGCATCGACTCCTTCTGAGGAAGCGCCCGGTTGTCGATTCTCCTCCCGGTTTTCGCGCTTTAAAGAACGTCCGAACGGCGCGAGCGTGGAAAGAGAAAAACTGACTCGGCCCCTTTATCCACGTCTGCTATCGCGGAGAGAATTTGCCTCTCCTCAGATTTGTCCTGAGAATCGCGCGATCGTGGGACAACGTGGCGTTTCCCAGAATTTTGTGAGAGCTTTTGGAGATCTTACCGTACATTTTACCAGTGAAACGTATGGTGAAATTTTCACAAGCTCGCATAAAGTTGTCCAAAATTCCACGTTGTCCCACGATTACGTGATTTTTCCAGGGTAAATTTTAAGAGAAAATCCTCTCCGTGCACCCTCGACGCGGGTTAACTTTAATCTCCGTTTAATTCACTTCCATCTCTTTCTAGTTCTGAGACTTCGGGCCATCGCACACAAAATTGCATAGCTGCATATGCATAGTATAAGACCATCTGGACCAATGAGCATGTTTACCCAAGGAAAAATGAAAAGTCAAGATGACGTCAATTTGATGTCATATTGACCAGATTTGTGTTATATTTTGGTCAATATGACATCAAACTGACGTCATCTTGACTTTTCATTTTTCCTTGGGTAAACATGCTCATTGGTCCAGATGGTCTTATATTATGCATATGCAGCTATGCAATTTTGTGTGCGATGGCCTTTAAGCCCGTTTCTACCAATGCAGATTAACTTCAATCTCAGCTTAAATTACTTCTTGTCTTTTTCCAATTCGTAAAACCAGAAAAAGATACAAAGTAAGTTGAACCGAGATTAAAGTTAAACTGCGTTGGCAGAAACACGGGTTAGAAGGAAATTAGAAGGAAATAAAAAAATAGGTCAGAGCTAGATTAAAGTTAATCTACGTTGGTAGAAGTGGACATTGGACGCGAAGACGTTTCGAACGGAGTCGTCAGGGAGACTCGAGGGGTAAACCGCTGACCAAAATCATGTACACCGATGCCCAGTGGGCAGCGCTTTACTTTATTATCTTACTTTATCTTGTTTCATCTTGTTTTATCTTTTTAGATTCCTTATAATGGTATTTGGCCCCGGCAAGGCCAAATAACGCTCACTAATGTCCGAAAAGTGCCCAGAAGTCTGTCACGCCACGATGCCCACGGCGGTTTACCCCTCGGGTCTGATTTCACTAACGTCCCTTAACTTTAAGCTTACAATTGATTTAATTCGTTCTTCGTCCCTTTCCAACTGTCACTTTAGAAAGAGACAAAGACGAATTAAACTAGGATTAGAAGTTACGCGACGTTTGGTGAAACCGGGCCTCGGGGCGACTCCTAGGCTCGGCCTCGGCCAGACTCCGGCCCGGCGTCGAGTGATAGCCGCGGTAGTCGGGATATCGCGGGCGCAACGTGGACGCGCAAATCTCCTCGACGTGGGCTTTACACGTGTCCTCGCTCACCCGACGTGTCGCTCCGACCGCGACGGGGGATTATTCGCTCGGGTGGAAATAGAGCGCGCGCGAACAACACCTTGCGTCAGGCCGAATCTATAATTAGATGCGCGACCGGGAGGAAAATTGTATAAAACACGGCTCGGCGCACGAGTCTCGAGGGTCGTGCACGCGCGTGCAAAAATCTATGGAAATTTACCGGTCGCCCGTAGATCCGAAAGATCGTTCTTACGATCGTTCTCTTCGCGCCTGGTCGTTCCGCGATATAATCTCGTCTAACCGCGTCCTCCTATCGGTAAGCGATCAGCATAGAGCTCCGGAACGATGCGCGTCGTGACACCCCGGAAACCCCCTCCTGCCCCCCTCGCGAGATCTCTCTCACGCGAAGGCTTCCGCGACGATTTTATTTATACCCGCCTCGTTACAAAAGATCTCCTCGCGTCAAGCACACGGGGCGTCAATCCAGAAATTGTTATCCGATATTAATAGACTGCCCGCTCCCGAGAGATACATGCTTTCGTTATTCGCGAATGAAAAAGGGATGGTAACGCGGCGCGATGCGAAGGTCTGTTTTTCGATCCCGGTCTGTCGCGTAAACCGCGATAAACCGTCGCGGCCGGATCCTTATCTCGAGTCCAGTCACGAAAATGTCGGACGCGCGCGAATAAAAGTTCACTTCTCCTTTTTTTTTGCGCTTTCCGTTTCGCGCCTCAGCTCCGTCGCGTTCGAATCGCGAAGGAACGATTGCCTGCCAACGTTGATCTCCTCTCGCGATTAAAGCGGGTTCTCCCGTGTTGGGAAGTAAAGGGGAGTAAAGTACACCGCGAAAGTGCGGACAATGCTGCCGGAGATGGCATCTCTCCCGTCCCTTTTACATATTTTATCTCACTAACAAGTAATTTTTTTTTATACATAATTGACATTCCTTATCATAGACGCAATTTCATCCATTACGTAGGGCGCACAACTGCACCATCTTTATTTATATATAATAAAAGAAACTAACAACGACGCCCCACACACCACACAGGACACGTGGCGCGTTGCGGATGCGCGGACGTACAGGGCGCGAGAATCTTCCTTCCGGCGAGACACTTGTCTTGAATTAAAATTGCTTACATCGCAATTTTTGTGCAGAGCATTCCTTTCCCGTGACGAGTTGTTTTCGCGCCAGCCCGTACGTTCGCGCACACCGTCGCACGCATTCAGACACACGCAGAATGAGTATACAGCATATGTACATACATGAATTAGATATGTTTGTGCGAATAATCTCTTTACTCGGCCTCGACGCGTCTCGCACACTTTTTACGAAGTTGGAATAAAAGCAGTTTCAGATTGAAAAACTCAATTTTGCGTACTCTTCGCAAAATTTTTAACGACGCAGACACGGGTCGTTTGCAACGATTTTAATTTCATAGCCGTGTATTGCCTTGTTTCTTTTTGGTGCGCGAAACAATTTGCTGATCACGATGTTTATTTTGCTCTCTACGAAGGAATCGGATATTCAAAGTTGTTCAATTTTTCATTCGCACAAATGCACGCAGGCATACACGCAAATCCGTATGTACATAAAAGATATTCCACAAGTCTCGGATATTGGACGGTTCTACGATGAAACTGTGTTTAATTGATAATCACGGGCGGCTAAAAATTGAGTCAAACTTTCCTAATTTGATTTTATTCAACTTTACATTCAATTTTACTTAATTTTATTCAATTTTACATTCACTTTTATATAACGCTCTTCCGGACAAGATATCATTGCTTCGTCTCGATTTTTAAGTATCTTTTAAACGAAGAAATGTCACAAGTTCGTTGTTTTGCTTGGACGAAGTTGTACGTTCGAAAATAATCAAAGTACGCGCTCTTTGGTTCGGTGTTATCAATGACTTGAATCGGTATTATCGCCAGTCAACCCGTACGAATCACCGAGGGATCTCAAGGCGTTAAATTATTAATTGTCGAGACACGTGCGCGCCAGAGTCGCGATTGCCCGTCGACTTGGAAACGTTTTATCAACGACGGCTTCGTCGCGCGCTCTCGCGTTTGAGTTTCTCGTCGAATCTCCAGTTATCACTCGACCCACACAACCCACGTTATTATATATACTGTATAAACAGGTCTGTTTAATGGCGTCTATTAATAATATGCTTCTCTTAAAAAAATAAGGAATGCCTGGAATTGTACTACAAATATCTGTCCTATGTATGGCACATGCAACACTCATGAGCCTCTGACACCTGCTTGCTGATGGGACATTAATCACTAAAGATCAATACAGTGATCGGTACAATAATACCACCGTAACTGTGTAATCGGAATTTCGTTACGTAATCTTTCTCATTTATTCGGTGCTAATGTGGTGGCAGGTGCACATCCAGGCTGCCTGTCTGAGAAATCGCTATAATGTTCGGAAATAACGCAATCCACGTGCGTGTGTAACGTTAGCGATTAACAGATAGTGATCGATCATCGGTTCTTTCCACTTGATCGTTTCTTCTTCTTTTTTTCGGCTGATATCTGACATATACAGGCAGCTATGTTCTTTTACGTGACCGCCGTGGGGTAAATGCACCGGTGAACGATTGGGCTTCCGCGGTTATTTTCGACGATCGAGATTCTCGTCAACTTGGAAAGTACACTGTTTAAAGACTTGGGGACAGCTAGAGTGGAACGATAGGATCGCACCGGACGACTGATTCCGATAAAGGCGATCGCTAAGGAGCGTGTAATTAGAGACTCCGGCGCGGTCCTCGAGCCCTCGTTCACCGGTGCATCCAGCCTGACGAGCGAGTCGCTACAGTGATGTGTAATCCATCGATTTGTACGACTTTTGCGCGCACGGGAAAGGGTGTCGCGAGCCGTATCACTTGGGCAAGACGGGTCTAATAGTCATGGGCATTCGTGAGATAACGAAGTGCCAGCTTGACACTCGATACGAACGGCCGAACGCTCGTTCTCCCGCGCGAAACTGTTATCTTGTCATGACGCGTACAAGTCGAGTGCTTTCACACTAATAAATATTACAAGTAGCCGGTGCAAAGCAATGCTTCGTCGTGGCTTCCCCGACCGAAGATGACGGTCCTCTCGCGTTCGCGAGCTGGGACAATCGGGGAGGGGCAATGTAATGCATTCGCACGGCAGGACGCTGGAAAGGGAAAAAAAAGAAAGAAAAAGAAACTTCAACTTCGATCCCACCTTTCGACCTCAGCGTGCCGGGTCATGTTTTACGGACGCGCACGAGAAACGGAAGCGTTGCTTTTCACCACTAACTATATTTCTCTCAGCTGGCGAGCTACTAGATACTTAATGTTAACGTCGGTCAGTCATATAATCAGATTACTAACAAACTGTTTTTCTTTTCTTTCTTGTTAACCCCGGTTGCCCGTGGCCTGTAGGCTTGGAGTGCTAACAATGGATATCCACTCGCCCCGTGCTAACACCTGGACTCTGGAACAGCATCCCGCGTTCGATCGGTTCACCAACCAGCCGACCACCTTCGCCGTCCGTCCGCGTCACCAGCCCCGTTCGTCAAGCTTATCCATCATCCTGTATCCTCTTAATGTTCGGAAACGTTAGGTTTCTTTCGCGCGTCTCGGCGATCGACGGAGTCGTCGCCGATTGGGAATCCGAGCCACTTCGCGCCGTCGTAGCCGGCGGCGCAAATTTATCGTCTCACCTCGCAAGGAACGGTAGCGTTGCGAGGTGCATTATAGCATATAAATATACATACGGAAAGATTGGGGATTGCTATATATATATTCTTTATATATTATATATTTACGTGTAAATGTATATTATATACATTTTGTATAGGAAATCCCCGCGGGACTTTTTTTGCGAGTAAACGCGGGACTATTACAGACTTGTCTTGGACGCGAGTCGGGTATGCGCAATTCGAGCTCGGCGCAACGTTAGCGGTAGTAGCAATAGTAGTTTTTCGTAGTACGGATTTTAGTTTACCGAATATTTTTACTCCCCCCCGCAGGGGATGGGGGATTTTGTTGTAGCACTCGTATCGTCGATGTCTCCGAAAAAAAAAAAGTATTTTATTTTCTCTCTCTTCTCGCGGCGGCGATGAAATTGTTGTTCGCGTTTTTCCCAGTACTTACGACTACGCTGGCACCTCCCCGTCTCTGGAGGTGGCAGCGCGAGAATGTGACAACATTAACTTAAACGCAATTGATATATATTTACGCGCATTTTTAGAGCTAACTGCTGGAGAAGAAAGGTGTCGCGCGAAAAAGAAAACACAGACAAGAAGATTCGCGAGAGAACTCGCGAAGCTCTTCGAAGACCCCGTCGAGAGAAATCGTTGCCAATGTGTCTTCCTTTTTTTTCTCGCGCGACCCACCTCTCACGTTGGAGAAAACTATCAAAATTCTGTACAACTCTCTCACATAAATGTGCCTTATTGTAATATTAATAACGTAGTGCGGTGTAGCCGCGTTACCGTTCTAGATAAAGCTTCGTTATCGATAGGCTCTATGTAATAGCGTTAGAATCTGTGCAATCAAAATTTAACTTTCTCACATGTATATCCTTCGAAGAAGAAGGACGCAATTGGATCACTCTCTGACAGTCTTTCTCGTTACGTTGCGAGGAGGACTGTTGGGGACACCCGTAGCCTAGAATCACGAATATCCCCCAAGAGAAGACTCTAAAAGTCGTACGCTGATGCTTGATGTTGACGTACGTCGTATGCTGATGCATGAGAACTACATGTATATATTGTTTCAGCTAAAAGTATCAAGTCTAAAATTCTACTATTCGCAGAGAATCGTAGAATTTTAGGATGTCAATGTGCAATAATACGTTGACGAGAGAAATGTGGCAGGGCGTCCAAGGTGGCAGACGCGTTGTCAAGACTCGTGGAATAAATTGCAGATTTTAATTTTATGAAGAACTTACAACTTGCAGGATTGTCGAGTAGATACGTATATACAGTTGCACAAATATCGATATGACATATCGATATTAACCGGCGAATCGACAAAAACAAAAAAAACGGTAGAAGCATCGAGATCTATTGTCGCAACTTACTGCGACGCAGAATCACTTGCTAGATATTATAATCATATGAGTATAAGGGGAAGAAAAAAAAATGTAATCTCTGCCCACATATGTGCAAAGAGTGTTTGCGTGAGAGAGTGACTTACTTAATATCGACTTTATCATTATATTAGAGAGTTGCACCACTTTTAGGTCTGCCATATTGTACATGTAACGATTAAGAACGATATCAAGTTGCACGCGTTATATAACTCCTGTATAGTCATTCATGTGTCAAATGTTATACTCGTTCTTTCGACAGATATTTTTTGAATTTTTGTCCGAGGAGTGTACCGTGTACCGTGTACCGATAGCTTGGTCCTTCGTGTATATATAAGCGTTGAAAAGTATACACGCACATATTTAAGAGTGATCTGAAATCTACTTAAGTTCTCAACGTAAAAAAAAAAGTATATCCGATATATATTTTATTATTGTACGTAAATAATTGATTTAACGAAATATTTTGAATATCATTGTCCTCTATTAAGTGCGATTATAATGTACGAATTATATACGCGCATTCGCAAGCGTGGATTATACACAGAACAGATATGTATACTCTTTATGTATATGCTGTCTAATATATATATGAGCGTGGGAACGTAAATTATTACACATGTATACACATAATGTATTATACATATGCACTGACTCAGTTGAACATCTGGACGGTATAAATAAATACCGCTGTGGTTTACTTCTGCGTTAAACGACGATATGTCTCTGTTAAAATTTCAAAACGAGAATCCATTTAATATTTGCTTGTGCCAGAAAGAGTAAGTAATTCATGTGGCTTATATAATATTATTACAGATGCTTTATCAATTTTATAAATAAGCTATACATACACTGCATCCGACCTTTGATAATATTATATTCAATAATTTTAATTCTTACCACCGCAGAGGTAGACGCCATCGTGATTTATTTACACCCTGTTATCGTATTTATAAATGTATACAGATAAGTTGCATAAGAAATTATGTATGTGCAAGCAATCTTGTTAGATCTTATGGTACGCGAATTTACATTTATTATTCTATATAGTTATATAGTTTTTTGCCGAAATTTATTGTATATGATAATTTTTTAGTTTCATATTTTATTTTAATGTTGATATATGTGCAGGATATGTGGCAATATTAATGTGTAAGTGACAATGAAAAGCAATTCTATTTTCTGAAATCTCGGAAAGATCTGATTATGAATTATAGTGTACCGTACGCTACCTACTTATGGGAGAAAAAATTACAATTTACAATGAAAGTGCAAATAAAATAGTTCATACAAACATGTATAAATACTATGATAAACGGTAATAAAAATATTTTTTCAATACTCGACACTTCCTTGACACTTGAAGGGAATGGCGAATATAACGTTTACCAATGTTCATGCGTATTTTACTAGCTGTCGAAAAGTAAATGGACATTTCATACACAAAATACACCGGAATATGTACGTTAATTTTATTTCACTATTAAAAACGACGTTTTTCTACGTGCAAAAAATATCACTTAACACAATGCGTATTATTTTATCTTATTGTTACAATATACAGAATCGATATACAGAATAGAGGATTCTTTTATCCTTTTACGACTTCGGCAATCGATAGAAACTACCGGAGAGCAACAGCTGATGTTCTCTGACTTTTCTATCCAGAAACTGTCTCAATTCCGGTAAACCGCATTCGACGGCTCCCGGTCCTTGCGACGCAAACATTTTCAACATCTGATGAATCCTTTCTATTGGCAAGGAATCCAGATTTGTCAACATGCCGACAATGTAGGACCAGAATACTTGCAGCTCCTCCTCTCTCTGATCGCTAGCTGAAGCCATCGCGCTCTCTGCCTCTTCCTCCTCGACGATATCCGTTGATAAACGACTCTTGGACGTGCTCTCTTCTTGTAGAATAAACACGTCATTAGACGTCTCCTTTAGGAGACCTTGCGACACCCAGAAAGTCATCTTGCGTCGCAGAACAGTTGCTGGTGCATGCATTGTCTCTGCCAGATCTTGTAAAGTCCACTCATCTGCAAACGAAATTTGAATTAAAAGCAATCTCCTCACTATGCGTCTACGCTTGAGTCAACAAATCATCAGCGTGTTCTTACTTTTATCCTGGAAATGCAAGATAATCGTCGCGTGCACCGGCGTCACGTTTATATCCAGCTTTCTGTCCTTCAATTCGATTTCCAGACTCACGTTTCCCAAATGGGGCTTCCAGCAGAGCGTTCTGTTTCCCTTCAGTGCCTCGAACGCTTTGACGTATTTATTCAATTGATTCTGCACGATACTTGGCAGCTTCAATTTCCAATCTTCCTTGAACGGCGGCCAGAACTGCGCCGATAATATGAGCGCGGAAGTGGGAAAGAGCTCCCGCTGCAAATTGTAGCTGGTGTCGGAGTGGATGTTACCGTCTATCCTTTTCGAGTCGTAAACGTCCTTCAGCATTACTTCACAGTAATGCAGCTGATTCTCCCCGAAGCGTCTTTTCAACAATTCCAAATGACGTATTTCGCGTTCGGTATGGTAATTGAGTTGCGAGAGTAGTCTATCCGCCAGCAACGTGCGATACTCGTTGACGAATAAATCCTGACTGCCATAAACGTTCACCAGAGTGGAAATAATATCAGATACTTTACGCTGTGTCGATTTAGCTGGAAAGACGAATCCTCATTGAGATAAAAAGTTTATCATAAAAATACCTTAAATATTTCCGTAAGTATATAAACGTTGCAACTTTTTCTGATTCAATTTTGATCCAAATCTTAATATGAAGGTATATATGTCCTAAATCTAGTTCGAAAATATGATTATAATGATGCGATTTAGAGGAATGCAACTGTATCGCCAAATAAAAAAATCTGCGCTTAAAGTCAACTGGAGAAGCACCGAGTCAACTGTGGAAAGAACTTTCCGCGCTGAAATAGAGCCTTGAGGTTTACCGGGATCAGCGTCGACTGGATCCGGCATCCATTTCTCCCAATCTTCAGTCTCATCGTCCGCCGAACCGTCGTCCAATTGCAGGCACTCGCCCTTCACCAGTTCGTCAGCTAATTCACTGGGTGAATCGTCAAGCAGGCTATTAACGACGGAACGTACGGTGTCCTCTCTGCTCCTCAAGTAGCATCTGAAGAATAAATTGAACGTGACAAAGAACTGAGTTTTCTAGCATCTTGTATTAGATTCACGCTGCGGATTGCAATTTTGCGAGGGATCTCACTTAATGGGCTCCGTTACAGCTTCCAGAAGCACTCCAGTTGGGTCGAGGTGTTTGAGCGCTTTGATCGCGGCGATATAAGCAGTCACTATGTCCGGCGTGTTCACACCGGCATGCAAGAGCCTCGTTTTGATCGCTTCCTGCAGATTCTTAACCAGGACCTTCCGCTTATCGGTCCTTTCCAAACAAACTCGGAGATCGTCCACCGCGGGCTGCGACTCGGGATACTCTGGAGAAAAACGTAGCGCATACTTGTACAATGCGCAAATAATCATAACGACACTTTGTAGATGTATAAATGAAGTGTACCTATTATTATGTTAAAGAGATGATCGATTCTCACGTTGGTGTACGTTTCGTACAGAAAATGAGATAATTTCTGTTTAAACTTGTTTATGGCGTTGCGAACTTGGTCGCTAAGCGCTACCGTTTTCGAGAATCCACCGGAGTAAACTCGTATGAGCCAGTTCATGACGACAGTCTCGAGCCACTAAAACAATTAGTTGCTACAACAGTCGTTATTGCACAATTATATATGTCGTACAATGAAAAAGCTAACATACATTTTCTAACGAGATCAATTGTGACACGTCGAACGTCTTGTCGCACGTTTGAATCACATGATTCTCGATACGGATATGGATTAGCGACGTGAGCACGTTCCCTACGAGTCTCTCCAATAACTCCAGCTCGATTAATTTTCTGTTTGTCTCGTGAAACATGTATACTATCATCTGACAACGGCAGTTTTCCACTTCCTGAGTACATCCTGTGCACTGGATCTCGCTGACTGATATGTCTGCTTAAAAAAGAAACAACGTACGTTTTTATAATATTTCAGGCAAATCGAATCGGATACAACACAAGTGGCAATCGTTTGCGCAATTTACCTTGCGACGAGTTGTCCGAGTTGCAGAATACGTTGAACGCGATTTTATAAAAGTGTTCTATGATACATTCGTGGCACAGAGGTAGTTGGCTCAGTAACGTCGCTCTCACGATGAGCTTGAATCGCGCCTCTATGTCTATGTCGTCCTCGGCGCTCGACAGAGACCCGCCTCCATTCTGCCTCAGGTACTCTAGTTTCTTTAGAATCGGCAGGAACTCCATGAGACTGGTGTACAGACCGTCGACGGCAGACTTGAACAATTCAAAGCCGCGCTTGCCATCCTCCGTGTACTCGAACTTCTCCCAGAACGCCGGTGCCACGTGACAACGGATGTACTGTTCTATGTGATGAATCACGATCTCAATGATAGACTGCGTCGACTTGAAAATCTGTAAAATCTTTAATAAATTCGCAAACTCCTCCTCCGTACATTCTTCCTGAATCTGAAAGAGAAAGAGAGAGAGAGATCATTATGCGATTCTTAGAGTAAGAATTAGAAAGCAGAATCGTCGAAAGGCTGAAGTACACGTGTCAATAAAGTAAAAATAGCATTACATACGCTAGTTTCTCTTTTAACTTTTTATCATGGTTTTTCTAACTTGTAAACTTTATTTTACTTTATATATCTGTAGTTGAATTTCAAGCATATATTGAAGCTCTAAGGTCTGGTTTCACAAATGTTGTTTAACTTTAAGCCTAGTTTAATTCGTTCTTTGTCTCTTTCCAACTGTTACTTTAGAGACAAACGTGAATTAAACCAAGATTAAATTTAAGCGACGTTTGGTGAAACCAGGCCTAAATCTCTGAACGTAATATCCAAATTAACCGAGACAAGTATCAACGTCCGAATAAAGCTACAAAAAAAAAGGAGAACCAATTGCAAATGCGGTGTACCGAAATTTGTTGGAATTACATAAACTTTGGCGCGTCTGTTAGTCGAATATGCAAGCAAATTCGGATTGTGTTTACAATCCTGACACTGGTGCTCGTATCGAGGTTAGGATTTTATACTGTAATTTCGTCGTTTGATATCGTAAGAGAAGTTCCACTGTTGAGGAAGCAAATTTATGACGTTCAATGTGCACCGTGTTTTCGCACGCACCTTTCCCTTAATTATTGGAAATACGCGTTCCAAGTGCTCGAAGAAATCCTTCGGCTCCTCCTCCACCTTGGCCATGTTTCAACACCGATCATCGGTGACCGATGGCGCATGTAATTGATGTAAACAAGGTGCCTAAATTCAGGTTATGTCGCGTTAGGTTAGGATTCGCGATTAATGGGCAGCGAGGGCAGAGAAGAGAAAAGTGTAAGAGATATTTCTTGGAGCTTTTTTGCACATTAGAATAATCTCGATCAAACTCCGATTAGCGCGTCTGCTACGTTTTGTCGACGTGGCTGGAATAATTCAGCTTTCGTTGCTCGACAGCCTGAAAGACCAAGTTCAGGGACACGTGTGACAATCAGAGGTTCTGCCGCGGTCAACTCTGCCGGTCGTCGATTTAATCAAGGTCCGGTTTCGCCAACGTCGCGTAACTTTAAGCTCAGCTTAATTCTCCGTCTCTTTCCGACTGTCACGGCCTGAGCAGAACAGCTGTCTTATATCCTTAAGTCACAAGACAGCCTTGTGACAGCCTTGTGTCACAAGTGACTTAAGAATACAAGACAGCCGTTCTGCTCAGGCCCTTACTTTAGGAGACAAACATGAATTCAGCCGGGATTGAAGTTGAGCAACGTTTGGTGAAACCGGGACCCAAATCAATCAAGGTTTACCGAGGGATGCGACGCGGGTGTTGAAGGTGCGCGTGTTTACTTTCAGAATTGCAGGCATGAATGTATTCTCGTTCAAGTACAGGAACGTGATTCTGGGCGTGACAGCGACAGCCGTCGGGTATTACGCGGTCCTCATGCCACACACCGTATTCCTGAAGAAGTACAGATACATGGTGGCCACGTACCAGTGAGTAGCGAGGGGTTTAGAGATTTGTATTCTTGCTCCAAGTTTGCGATCTAATATCCTCTTTTTGTTTCCGCACGCGCAGACTGGGCAGTGAGACGCCGCTGGGCTCTGTGCTCCAACAGAGGATTCAGGGTGTTATGGACGACCTGAAGCTGCCCGACAACGTCAGGGACGCTATAAAGCCCTTCAGCGTGCTCGGCTTCGATCTGCTCCACGCCGGCACCCTCGGCAGGCACGGCGCGATACTGGGGATCCCAGCTAACTTGAACAACACGTCGGAGCAGCTCCGCGAGAATCTGCAGATCAAGGACGAGCCAGTGGACTGGTCGCGGCAGGACGCGCAGAACTTCCTGAAGGCGGTGACGCTGTCCGAGAGCGCGCAGAAGTTCGCGATAGCGCGCGAAATCCTGCGAATCCAGGCGGAGGAGCCGTGCTTCAATTCGCTCGGACTGGCCCTGACCGTGGCGACCCTGTGGACACTTTACAGCCTCATATCGTATAGATTTAAGTTGCGCGAGAACGCGACAGCGCGGCGCACGTTATACGCGGTCTTCGCCTCGTTTGGTGCAATACTGTGGTTCGGCGTGAAGGACTATCGGAGTTGCCAGCTGGACAAGGAGAACGACGAAGCCCTGCGCCGCTTAGGCGCCGAATATGTCAAGGGGGGACAGGAGTTCTACGAGAAATTGTTAATCAGAAACAAAGCTATGAGGTCACTCCTGGGGGCGGACGGGAAAGGTGTATATACCGCTTACGGAAACGAAGAGTTTTTCCTGAGACAGAAGCACGTACCGATCTCCCACAGGAAGGAACTGTTCGACTTGCATCTACGAAACTTGGAAGGTATGAAATAAATCGGTCCCTTTTCGAGCCTGGAATTTTAAGCGGACAACTTTCTTCTGCGTATGCCATCCAAGGTCCTCTGACGATTAAAATTTGAATGGCGCACCTACCTGGTTTCCTACCTCGAGAGATATCTTGTTCGTGCAATTTGCTGCGTGGTTTGATCGAGGGGTGAACCGCTGCGGGCATTGTGGTGTACAGATTTGCGACATTACTGGGCATTACAAAGATAAATCAAAATAAATGAGATAAGATAAAGTGATGCCCACCGAGCATTAGTAGGCATTGGTGTATATAATCTTGGTCAGCGGTTTACCCCTCGGGGCACTCGGAAAACGGAACGAAACGCCTCGCGAGCGCAAATATATCGGAGATCGTTTAACATACGATTAACGTACATATATTTCTAATTTGTGATACTGATTGTTGGTGATAAGATGCGATATCTGTAATAAACCATTTGGAAAACAGTATTCGTTAGGAATATATATATGTATAGTATTAATTACAACATAGAGGAAAGTCCTCTACTATGAGATAGATTTTCGACACCCACATTCAATCACAAATCTCTTTTCGCAACGATTATACAATCTAACTGTGAATTTTCCACTAAACAGATCTCGCTCCAAGGGCGATAATTCATGGTGGAATCAACTGATGACGTCGGTTAATTTAACAGAACAACCCTGCTATCCCATATCAGGATCCTATCTCATAATAGGGAACTTTCCTCTACATGTACTATGTACGCGTATTAATCCATAGAGTTGTGCTTACCAAGATATTGTCATACTTTCAACGTAAAAAGCGCTTCATCAGAGAAGATACATACGCGTGTTCAGCACGTGGTCAGCTTTCACGCGACGACAATCACAGGTAAGAACATACTTTATATACATTATCTATATTTCTATGTTATGTAAGCCTTATCACATTACGATAACATTCTGTTAAATTAATATTTATAAAAATCTGTAAATATTACATTTCGCAGCTAGTTTGTACAAATTCTCCTCTTCTCTTGTATGTATACGAAGATTCAGCTCGCGTAAGCGGCCTGTAGAAGCATAGAGTACTCGGGCAGAAAAACGCGTCCAGCTGTTCTCTAGAATTCCTCTATACAGAAAAGTGGTCACATCTCGGACTACGTGAGACCAAGCGAGCCGAACTGAAAAAGAGACCCGTAACGTGGACGTTAAGACACGCGCGTACTACGCTATGTAAGACATCGCTTTGCACAGCCGCGCTCACCAGAGTTAGCTTATCCTCTTCCTTCTTAAGTATCTTCGCAGTTTGCTCCTGATCGAATTTGACGACAGCGGCGATTACCCTGGCGAGCACCATCGTCTCCCGCCCCATCATGTATTCGAACAGGATGTTCCTAAGGTACTCGATCTCCGTCGAGTCCTCAAGTGTGTCGTGTCGCAGGTTCACGAGCTTCCGAAGTTCCGCGAGTTCCCGCCTTTGAGAGGTCAGGGTCTGCTGCAGGGTGTGAATCGATCCAGTGCTCGTTTGTATCGCGGCCATCGCCACGCGTGAAGTGCTCTCTAATTCCTGCGTGAAATTTTCAGTTTACTCTCGACGTTCTCTTAATTGTTCTATCAAGCAACTGAGCGGTGTAAAAGTGTATGCACAGAGGAAAAGCGTAGTGGCTTTAAACGCTCGAGACAAGGGGAAAAAAATGAAAAAGAGCTTTACCTCGGAAGCTGCGTCAGTTTGTGCATCAAGCTGAAAATAATGCGAAAAATATGAACGCAAATTAAAAAATTAAATTTAAAAAATGCAAAACGTGCACGAATAATCATTAAAAATACATCAAGTCTAAAAACCAAATAAATTTAAGGGAATATACGGTGCAAAATGAAATTATATCTTCGGATTGTGGAAACTTACCTTTCGTTCACTCTGCCACTCTTTTGTCAGTTCGTTCAATTCTTCCTCGTGCTTAACTTGCAGGTTGTCGATTTTCTGCTGCACTATGGCCTTCCACTTTTTCTCCAATTCTTTTGTCTCGTCAGCGTGTTCCTTCTTAATCTGCGCGATCGTTTCCATCAAACGAGCAATGTCCTTTCCTTTCTCTGCCACCTCATCTTTTTTCTCCAGGACGAGGTTCTCGAGCTGCTCTGACCTCTCTGACAGCTCTATTTGACAATCTTTCAAGTGTTCCTTGTACTGCTGCACAAGATTCGATTCATAGTTGTGTTGGCGATCTACAATTAGATATTGATTATACATCAGAGCGTTTTTCAAAATCTTTTAGTCTTATTACAACAATGTTATTTTTTCAGATAAAATCAGCAGCTTACCAAAACGTTTCTCCAACGCGGCTTGGAGTTCCTCTTCCTTGTCATGCAACTGAGCTTGGAACTCTTTGACCAGCTGCTTCAGCCTCATTCCTTGTTCCTCCTCGTTGGTCTTCAACTGTTCCCTCAATTGACTGGTTTGCGACCTCAGCTCGTTGTTAGCCAACTGCATCTGCGTCTCTTTCGCTTGGAATGTTATCAACGTCTCGTCGAGCTGCGCCTCTAATCTCTTGTTCTCCTCGCGTAACTTGTCGCTGTCGAGCTTCGCGTCTCCGTCGTCGCGGACCGCTTCCAGTTCCCTTCGCAACGCATCGTTCGTCCGAACGAGAGAATTAATCTCCGACTGCAGGCCAGCGACCTTCTCTTCCGACAGCGCGAGCGAATTTCTCAGCGTGTCCGCGTCCTTTCTTCTCTCGTCGACCTCGAAGGAGAACCGCCTCAAATTCCCGATTTCCTGCGACATGTTGGATATTTTGTCCTCCAGCAACTTTATCTCCGCGTCTTGAGAGCCCGTCAACAAGTCTTTCAAGGCGCCCAGCTCCGTCGACGAATTCTTCGCGGACTGCAAAACGTCGATCTCCGACTGTAATCTATCGTTTTCCGCCCGTAGGGTCTCCAAACTAGACACCTTGGATTGTAAATTATTTACATGGGTCTGCAACTCGGCGCTACTGGAGCTCGCGCTTTCCAACTCGGCGATCCTGTCCTTCAGAGCTTTCCGCTCGGCGATCAGCGCGTTATTTTCCGAACGCGCCGCCTCCGCCGCGTCGGAATTCTTTTGAATCAGATCGCTAAGCTCCGATTTCAACTCCGCATTCTTATCCTCCGTATCTTTGATTCTCTCCACTTCGTCCCTCAGCGACTTTAGCTCCGCGCAAAGCCGCTCGTTCTCCCCCTTCATGACGCTGCCGTTGGTCAAAGCTGTATCCAACTCGGAAGTTTTACTCTTTAACTCGGTATCCCGCTCGCCGAGCTTCCCTTTAATCTCCTGCGATTCTCTCTCGCTCGTCGCCAGTCTCTCGTTCAGCGAATTCCATTCCGCATCCTTACGTTCGAGCTGCGCGTTAACGACCGTTAATTCATTTCTCAAGCGTTCCACCTCCTCGCTCTGACTGTTCAGTTGAGACTTGTACGACTCCACGTAATCCTTGACTGTTCTCCGTAGCTCTTCGATCTCTTTCTCGTAATCTGCGATTTTCCGCTTCAGAGCCTCTTCGTTCTCGCACATCTCCCGATTACGGCTCACGAGATCGTTATGCTTGTCTTTCAGACCTTTGTTCTCCAGGGTGATCGTCGCCAGCTGAGAATTTTCCAATTTCAGCGTCTCCTGCTGCTTCTCGAAGGACTCCAACGCGCTGGACAATTCTGCCTGCCGGGTCTTCGACTCGTCAAGCTCGGCTCTCACCTCCTCGATCGTTTTACCTTGCCGCTCTTTAATGGTCTTCATCTTCTTCAGTTGCACGAGTTTCAGGTTTACCGTTTCCTGCAGCACTTTGTTGTTCTCCATCAATTCGGCAATCTCCTTCGCGTGACTCTCCCTCGTTCCCTGATACTCCGCCTCCAAGTTCAGGTACTTCCTCACGTGTTCCTCGATCGTCTGTATGTGACTGTCGCATGTGGATTTCAAGTGCGCGACGTGCTCCTCCTCGCTCGCTAGCTTCTCGTCGCGGGTCTTTATCTCATTCCCTTTCTCAGCCAGATCGTCCTTTAGGCGAGCGATTTCTGACCTCGCGACGTGCAGCTCCTCCCGCAGCGCATCGTGACCGTTGCTCGCGGATTTTAACGAGCTAATGACCTCGGTCGCCTCGCGTAACTTGGCGCTCAATCCGTCTACTTCCTCAAAAGCACGACTGGCCTGCGCGTGCTTCTCCCTCAAGTCATCAATCTCAACGGACAACGCGTGATTCGCAGACTCGAGATTCTCCAACGTCCTCAGTCGGTCTCGCAGCGCCTTGACTTCCTGCTGCGACTGCGTCAATTGGTGCGACGCCGCTTCCAAATCGTGAATGTTAAAATTGAGATTATCGATCTCGGCTATTAATTTGTTGTTAGTCGCATTAAGCTCGTCGTACTGGTTGCCTTTCAGCGTCATCTCTTTCAACCGCTCGTCGCTCTTTCTCAATTCCGCTTCTAGTGCGAATTTGTGACTCGCAACCTGCGCCAGTTCCGACTGCAGCTCCGTCTCGTTCAACGCAAGCTGTTCCAAGTCCTTGGTCTTCAAACGCAGTTCGTCCACCTCGGACTTCAGTGTCACGTTCTCTTCTTCGAGCTTTGCAAAAGATACGGCGAGAGTCGCGTTCACGTTCGACACTTCGGCCTTTTGCTTCGAGAGCTCGTTCGCAACGACAGCTTTAACGTCCACGCAGTCCTGCTTTAAACGCCGCATACAATCGTTATAGTAAATGAGACGATTCACCATATCGCTCCTCTCTTTCTTCAATAAACTTATGACTGAACTGTCTGCCTGGGTCTTATTTGTAAGGTCGTCGATTCTGAACCTGCAAAGCTCGAGCTCGCTTTGTACCGCGCTTAACTCGGTCTTTTTACTCTCCAATTCTCCCTGCACCCCAGAAAGCTCCTCCAGTTTATCGTTCAGAGATTTGATCTCTGCCTCCTGATCGATCAATTTATACTTCACCTTCTCGAGCTTGGCCGCGTACTGCTGCATCTTTTTATTGTAATTCTCGCACACCTGATCCCTGTCGATTAACGCGCGTCTCATGTTCTCTAATTCCTTGTCGACGCTTTGCACCGTCGCTTGGAGCTTCTCGATCGTCGAGTCAGCGTCTTTCCGGTTTTCCTCCGCGACAATCCTGTACGCGTCGTACTCCGTCTTCACGTCCGAATGCATGATCTTACAGGCTTGCAATTCGCTCTGTAATGTTTCTCTGTCGTGTCTACGTTCTACACTACGTTTCTCCATCTCGTCCAATTTATGCTGCAATTCCTGCAACTCTGCTTCCTTTTCCCTTAAACGGAGCGTTACCTCGTCCGGTGTATTCTCGTCCGTCCTCTCTCCTTCGCTGTGATCGACTTTCTCGTGACGTTTCATCGCCGCCTGTCGCGCAGATCTCGCCACTTCGGTCTTCTCTTTCGATGTGTCGTGCGCCGTCGCGCCTTTATCCGCAGCTGTACTTGAATCAACGTGCGGGGATTTGAATTCATTCAATTCGGTCTTGTATCTCGCCACTGCCTCATTTAAACTGTCTCTATCTTCTGTCACGTGCTTCAGGTCGACTCGCAGTCGCTTGATTTGCTCCTCTTTCTCCTCGAGCTCCCTGTGCACGGATAGTTTGTTCTCGGCTAATGAAATCGCCGATTCCTCCTCGCGTTTGTGCAGGGTATCTACTTGTTCGGTCAGCTTTTCAATTTCGACACGCGCCGCACTCAACTCGCCCTCCGTCGCGCTTATCGTCTCGGCAGTGAGACTCTTCAGCGCCTCATGATCGCTTTCCAAGGTGTTCTTCTCCTTCATCACCTCCGTAAATTTCTCCTTGTTGCGCTTCAAGGACTCCTTGTACTTCAAGACGAGGCTCTCCAGCTTCTTCAGCTTGTCCTTTAACTGGGTATTTTCCACCGACAGCGCGTTATTCTCGTCGTTAGCCGGCTCGTTCGTCAAATCGATGAGGTTCGCCTTGGGACTCTCCCTTTGCTGGGTATCTTCCGATATTGAATTCTCTAACGTTGGTCCGCTCGCCTGCAACAATTTTATCTTCGTATTTAACGTATTTATAATGTGATCCTTCTCTTCTATGTCGTTCCTCAGCACGTCCTCCAAGTGCGCCTTCGCCTGTTGCTCCAGTTGACATTGCTCCTTTAGGTCGGTTATTCTTCTTAGCACCTTGTCCTGCGTTTCAACCAGCACGGACTCCAGTCTGGTCTTCACTCTGTCCAGCTCGCGATAGTGCGTGGCCAGATCCGTGTATCTACCGCGATACTTGTGGTACTTGGTCTGCACCTTTCGATAGGCGGAGTACAGCTGATCCTTGGTAACTCTGTCGAGATGAGGACTGATATTATCGTCCACCTCGCTGGCCGACTGATCCATGTCCGACTACGAAAAGAACAAAAGAGCAAAACTGTCAGCACGTTGTCGGAGAGAGAGTCGCGAGTACTGTTCGTCGATTGGCGCTCGCAGTGACGCACCTGCAAATGGTACAAGTTCGGGGGACTCTCGTACATCGGAAACAACGAGGACGCGTCGCTGGTGACGCTGCTCACCGAGGATCTTCTCGAGATCTCCGCGCGGTTCGGCGACGGCGACATCAGGTCGACATTTTGGAAGCTGTGCTTGGCCGGAGTGTTCTTTGGTGTCTCTGCGAGACAGAAAACCGTATACAGTCGCCAATATATTCCATGCAGTACCCACGGGACAGTACGTGCGGTGTCATTTACAACAGTATCGTACGCAGGATGCGTCGCCAGAATGGAGCGCTTATCCGTACGTCTTTCTGAGAGTGCGTCCCGCTTCACGTATGACGCACATCATTTATCCCTGCCCGTTTCTGCCGATGCAGATCAACTTTAGTCCCGGTTTAAATTACTTCCTACCTTTTTCTAAGGCCCGGTTTCACCAAACGTCGCTTAACTTTAATTCATGTTTGTCTCTTTCTAAAGTAACAGTTGGAAAGAGTCAAAGAACGAATTAAGCTAGGCTTAAAGTTAAACAACGTTGGTGAAACCGGGCCTGATTCGCAAAACTAGAAAAAGATATGAAGTTGAACCGAGATTAAAGTTAAACTACATTGGTGGAAACTGGCGTTATTCGCCATATGTTAAATAGGCTGCTTTCCTTTTAGGAAACACCAATCGACACAAGTCAACACAGTTTGCCACTGCGAAATAGCAAAGATTTAAAGGACAAGATTTTAAGTAAAGGTTCTGTCGAACAAAAGATTCTATCGACATACTCGGAGCGGATGCCTTCGGTCGAAAAGGGTCAATTGAGTCTTCCTGAATTAAATTCTAAACCCACACAGCACTCATGTCTTTAAGACGTCTTTTAGACATAGTACATATCTAAAGGACGCCTTAAAGACGTCTTAAAATTGCCTTTAAGACCCGTCTACAATGAGTTGTTCGTCGTTAGTCAGAAGTCGGAACTACATGTTGATCCTTTTCGCTTCTGGGTGGGAGAAAAAGGACCGACGTACATACATGTCCTGACTTCTGACTAACAACTCACTGTAGACCGGGTCTTAGCAATGCATGTTGTTTGGGACATGTGTCGATTTGTGTGTCAAAATTTTGTCAAGTGCGTTCCCTAAAAGGAAAGCAGCCACAAATGATGCACCATTGATGAAACGGAACGCACCGCAAGACCTCCGTGTCATTCCTCACAGTATCCCTCTTCCTGACGACTCACCCCGCGCGTTCCGACAACAGACTCGATCGCTGGGGCACGCTTACCGTCTCCATCCTCCGTCAGGCTGAAATTGTCATTCGACGCCGACACCTCCTGAATGGAGCTGTTGGACAGGGCCGGCGACACCACCGCCTGCAAGCAACAACAATAACAACAAGAAAAGAAGGGGCCGATTGAAAATCGTTCGCTTTCGCGGAATCGCGCGACGAGGGGGGAGAGGAGAGGGTCGCGACCTGCGCAAGCTGCTGCACGCTCGCCTGCAGCCTCGCGGGCGACTGCTTCATCTCCTCCGCGAGCTTGTCCTTGAATTTCTTGAACATCCTGGCGCGCGGCTGCCGGAAGCGGCGGTCGGTCGGTCGGTCGACGGTGATAAGCGCGCGATAAAACGCCGAGCGAAGTCAGAGCCCCAACGCGTTGACGTCGCGCGGTTTACGTGGACACGGGCCGTCGGGAACGGTGGCGCGAGCACGGCGAATCCGGACTGCGGCGGGACGGTGCGGCGCGGGGGACATAGTGGTACCCGCGGAGCGCGCCTCCTCTCTCCGCCGCGCGGATCCTCGCGAGCGAGAACACTTCTGGATGAATAAGGACACCGCGGGGAAAGATTGCGCGTACGTCGAGCTACATTATTTGATTATCCCACGTATGCCAGTACGCGCCTGTGTGGGTACTGTGGGTGCGCTGGCCGCCATTACTGCGTGGAGGTGGACGCTCGGTGACGTCATCGGCACTCTCTCTCTCTCTCTCTCTCTCGCGTGATGTACCAGATTTTAAAATTGCGAGGACGGTCAAATTTCAAAATCTGTAGAGAGAAGAGATATATTCTCGTTCGCGCAAGATTAAGCCGATCGGTAAATTTATATTTCGGTCGAGATTGCTTAATCTAGTCGAGTCTTCGTGAACTATAGATTTCAAAGGATACACTGAAAGAAAAATCTGATAGATTCAACCCAGTCGTCTGTTAGAATCAGAATTCCCTTTAGGATTTACCGAATTTGTAGTGAAGTCTAGCAAACTTCTGGTTATGAAATATCTTTCATGGTAAATCCTAAGGAATTCTGATTCGTTCATTTTCTAACAGACGACTGGTTGAATCTATCAGACTTCTTTTTCAGTGTAGATTTTGAAGGATTTCAAAGAATCCCGATTAGAATACAATATGTTGTTGATTTTCCGTCGTTCGACATGTGGAAGAAAGAAATTGGATCAGAGGAGATAAAAAATATTTAACTTTTTCATAAGAAACTACTAAATTCATGGAAGTCGGAATGCGCCCAACTGGACGCTCATGGGATACCATGAAAGGCGTTGGTTGCTTAAGACAGCAGATCGGTGGCCGTAGACAACTAAATTCTTGACTCTCGGAATAGCTTCAGACTCCAGTTAAGTCAAACGCGCGAAGATGCTCGAGCATCTCTGCAGGGGCAGTCCAAAATGTTCCAATACCTCACGAACACAGGGATAAAAATAAAATGCGTCTGAAATTGATAAACAACATAACGGGGAATCGAGGAATCGTAAGAAGACAGAGTTGGCGTCTCAAAGAACTTTCGTGACGTTTATTTAGACAACTTCGGCCGCCCTCGCGCCTCCCTTGTGAGTCTTGGACAGATACTCGGCGAACTCCTGGTACGGCGTCTTAGTCACAGCCTGTTCCTTCCACAGGTCAGGCGTCAGATACGCGTACGTCTTGGCGATCGCGGCGTACGTGGCCTTGGCGAAGTTGCCGAGCGTGCAGGTGGAGCCCCTGGCCGAGGTGTAGCAGTCCTCGATACCAGCCATCTGGAGCAGCTTCTTGGGAACCGGGGCGGACACGATGCCGGTGCCCCTGGGCGCCGGTATGAGACGCACTTGCACCGAGCCGCATTTGCCGGTCACCTTGCACGGCACCGTGTGCGGCTTGCCAATCTTGTTGCCCCAGTAACCGCGCCGAACGGGCACAACCGAGAGCTTCGCCAGGACGATGGCGCCGCGAATAGCGGTGGCTACTTCCTTGGAGCACTTGACTCCCAGTCCAATGTGCCCGTTGCTGTCACCAATGGCGACGAAAGCCTGCAAAAGATCCCTCACTTGAAATCCATTGCTCTCGTCGCAATTCTTGGATTTATCTATAGATGCTGTATGGGACATTTTATTGGCTACGGAGTATCTAAAGGTGATCTTAAATGTAAGATCCGACTATGAATACAGTCATTAGTGTCGCTTGACTGTCGTGAGATCCTTGCGTTTCTTCTCCTGGTCAGATATTTTAATCGATTGTAAATCAAGGGAGACTGATGGTTACCTTGAAACGCGTGCGCTGACCTGCCCTCGTCTGCTTCTGTACGGGCATAATCTTCAAGACCTCGTCCTTGAGATCCGGCCCGAGAAACTTGTCGATGATCTCAAACTCCTTGATGGGTAAGGAGAATAGATAGATGTGCTCGAGAGATTGGATCTTGCCGTCTCTGACCAAGCGACCCAGCTTGGTGACCGGAACCCATTCCTTGCTGTCTTCCTTGCCGCGTCCACGGCCGCGTCCTCTGCCTCTACCTCCACGTCCTCCTCGGCCCCTCAGGCCTCTCAGGCCGCCACGATCGCCTCCCGCGCCACGAGAGCCAAAACCTCCGCGAAAACCACCACGTGCGGCTGGAGCAGCGTCCGCCATTCTGTTAAGTAAAGTATATATTGATTTTCTCTCTCTCTCTCTCTCTCTTTCTCTATCAAACGTAATTTATATTCTGAAATAATTCTTTTTGCACAAGGTTCGTCGAAAGTCACAACGGTGACCAACTGCTTTGCAAACATTAACTACATAGTCCAAAAGCGCGGAGGAAATTGCGCTTAAGAAATTAAATAGAATTAGAATTAGGGGACATAAGTTTGAGTTATTCTTTAATATTAAAGACTGAGGCTGCGTTCCGATATTAACTGTCAGTACTGAAACTGTATAGTACACGTGACGTAAACTATAAATTTTCAGTACTGGCAGTAAATATCGGGACGCAGCCTGAAACATATTTGAAACTTTAGTACTCGGGGGGTGGCTAACTTAACCTAACGAGCCAGCACGTGGCGCTTAACAATGCACCTCGAGTCGCAATGGAAATACTCCACGCGGAGATACCTCTTTAATATCTGCTAGAAAAAGTTGACCGACAAACGTGGTATAGAATAAAAAATATCTTATCGTAGCACGGATAATTATAAATTTTCAGAAATATACTCACGTAGCCAACTAGTCGTGCGTACAATCGCAGCAAAATGGCTGTGTCTGGGCAACGTCACCTGCGTTCATTTAAACACTAGAGTTGACGTCTACGTAGTGACAACTAAAGTCATTAGATTTACGGCGAGACGTGTCCGCTCATCAACAACTTAGTTTACACCGATTGTTTGATCACGTATTAAATAGTAAAAAAACTAGTAAATGGATTTAATCATTGGCTGATCGGCTGAAATACGCTAATTGATACGCGTATCAAATGATCGGTGTAAACCAGGCTTGACGTTCCCAGGCGTGTTGATTGGCTGCGGACTAGTAAAATTCTCGAGTATCCAGAAATTTTCTTTTCAGTAGCCAATCAACACGCTTGAAAAATTTTTGTCGTACGACAAATGTAACATCAGCCTTCGAAAACACAGTCGACACTTTTTACACAAATTGACGCATGTCGCCTTCCATTTAGAATTTAATTCAAACTCAATCGACACTTTTCGACTCTGCTCGGGAGCAGAGTCGGAGTGTGTTGACCGAAGAACGGCATCCGCTTGAGCATTTCGGTAGAATCTTTTTTTCGATAAAACCTTTTCTTAAAATCCTTGTTCTTTCCCAGTGAGAAATGATTCGTCGAAACGATGTCGAATTTGACAGTAGTTGCTTTCCTTTTACATGAAAACATAAATCTCACCTGTGACGTCATAACTCAGTTGAATGCATGTTCCTTTTGATTCTAAAGTCTAATCTACAATGTGCTTTCTGCGTCTAGAAACATTCTATTTTATATAAACAGATCAAAACGCTCAACAAATTTGTCAACAATGTACGATTATACAATGTATAATATACAACTTACCAACTTGCATATAGATTTTGTAAACGTATACATTAGCTACAAAATAGAATGTTTCTAGACGCAGAGAGCACATTAATTGTAGATTAGGCTTTAAGAAGTGAGATTCAACCAGATTTAACTGAGTTTTTGCACACGATCAAGGCCGTATGCTTTAGTGAGTTTAATAGACTCGCATTAATGACGTCATATCCGAGTATAAAATACTCACATAACTGAGTGATTCAGTATCACTTGAGTGTAAAAGGAAAGCAGCTAATGTTACTCGTACAACACAACAGACGCTAACCAACTGAGTATATAGCCCAAAAATTCCTCTAGATACTATTTAAGTGCCGTCTGGTAAAAGAATTACGTACCTTACTACATAAAGACCAAGTTTTATTTGAATCACAATGAAAGGATCAGTTGTAAAAGGGTCCGATGCTACTATCTGCGCGTTGCTCCGAAACGGCCCGTCGGACGGTTTTGGATTTACATTCCTGAAACGTTCTTTCGAAATATGTAATGAAAAATCGATTTTTTTAAAGCCGAGAAAGGTATATGCCCCCTTAAACCGAGATCAAAGTTGATCTGCATCGGTAGAAATGGACATCAGCGTTGCCATTTTCACAATCGTGATGCACGATCACAACGCAGATTTAAAAGTGCACTCGAATCGGCACAAAACGCTCAACAGTGTTCTCAGCTGAACGCAGCCAATTGGAAACCCTCGGGCAGGCGCCTCTGACGTCACATCCGTTATTTCAAAAAGCGTCTCACGTCGGCAAAATACGAGGCGACATTCATACGCAAAGACGACATCGATTTATGTTTGCTTTATTGCTATCGTACACTTAAATAACGCTGTAACACTTGCCACAATATATAACATATTGTCAATTATTACATCCTCGGCGATCGCCTATCGACTCTCGAAACATCCCGTCTCAGTCACATTATCAACAATATTATAGGACGATCGATGATCAAAGATCTGGGTATATGTATAAATATTTGACACCTCAATTATTACAGAGGTTCGCGTCTCCCGCATATACAATCTTACAAAGTACACATTAGAAAGGAACTGCGAGTCACCGAAACTGCGTTACCCATTACAATCTCCCTAGTAGTAAAAAAAAAAAAGAAAAGAAATCCATCATTCACAACGTAATATCGCACCTGAAAACGGGGTCCAAGCTGAAGCTTTATTGATTACATTAACAATGTTTAACTCTACTCCGTCGACATTGAGGACACTTGTTGACAATGGCGCGGTGAACGTTATTTGCTATCGCGGATGTGACTCGATGAGACTGAGGACACCCCTTTCTCGCGGTCGCGCACCGCGAGAAACGCGTCGCTCCGCTCGCGTTTCCTCCACGATCGGCCTGATGCGATACCTGAGTTATAAAAGTGTTATTGTACTGAGAGAGGGAGAGAGGATACATCGGGCACACGGTGATGAGATCACACGTCTCCGAAATGCACATCGGATAATACTTTGGTAATGTACTGGCGGCGAGTAATCGAGACAGCGTGTCTGACGGCTCACGACAGCAACGTCTGTGGCTAACAGGATCGATCACGGGAGGATCCCCTATTCGTCGCGAGGCGATGTCAACGGAACATTCGAAGGCGATAAGGGTGCACTTGCTGCGAGCTCGACCTTCCTCCCTTTAGCGTTTGGATTCATCTAGGAATCTAGTCGTGTCTCTATTGTGTGCATCGCAAATTTGCGCCCGCGAACTTACTATGCTGTCTACCGAGAGACTCCTACGCGAAATCTCTTTCCTCAATCTCTGCACGTTGAATTAACTCGGCATTATAGAACCTTATCACACGGTATACAATACTTTTTGTTGTTCCGTTAAATTATATATTCTCTAAATAATTCCATCTAATTACGTGATCAGGGAGCGAATTAAGAACATTATACCGTGGGACAAGAATCTTAATCGGGTGAAGTTTTTATCTTAAAAAAAAATGTCTTATTCGTTTATTTTATCGCGTTCGTTTCTACAATTGAAATTTCGAGCTTTTTCCTGTCGATCCTGAGTACGCTGGAGCTTAATTTAAGAGTGATATTCTTACAAGTCCATTAATTTCCTATGTGTTTCCGTAATACCTCATTTTGGTGGTGGACTGAACGACGATTTCTTGTTCGAGTTAAAGCAGCATGGCTTAGTAACGCCGCCGTATATTGTCCCAATTTCTTTCCCGATCAGATATCGTAAATATAAGCGTATCTCGGTTTGTGACGCACGACTGTCGGGCAATCGAAATTATTGGATTAATCACGCCGAATTAACAACGAGCGGCCCACGTTTAGGCTCTCATGTACGGATAATCATATTCCCGTATGGGTGCGAAGGTCTCCTTAATAGCCTGCGGAGACGCCCAGCGAAGAGCGTAGTGAGGACCGCCGGCTTTGTCATTTGTACCGGACATTCGACTGCCGCCGAACGGCTGTTGGCCGACCACCGATCCGGTGGATTTGTCATTGACGTAAAAATTACCGGCAGTATACTTAAAATCCTCGAGTGCCTTCCTCGCCCACTTTCTGCAATAGCACGCGTATGCATGAGAAAATATCTTACTTTATCATTGTTACAGTATCACTGAACATAAAAATTTTCAGACCAACTTAATCTCACTTACTCATCTTGCGCGAATATCGCGCCTGTTAAAGCGTAAGGCGTGGACGTCTCCACCAGCTTCACCGTCTCGTCCAGCTCGGAATCCTTGTAAACGTATATCGTTAGTACCGGGCCGAATATCTCTTCCGTCATGAGTTTCTCCTTCGGATCTTTGGATTGTACTATTGTCGGCTCGATGAAGTACCCGCGTCTGGAAAGAGATTTCTATCTCAGAATGAAAGATCGAGATTAATTGCCGCGCTAGTGACAACTCGCGATAGAACGTACGAATCGTCGTAGCCGCCACCGCCGAGAATTTCCATCTTGGGCGATTTCTTCGCGTACTCGATGTAACCGGAGATCCGTTTGAACGCGACGGCGTCTATAACGGCGCCGGTGAATACGGTGAAGTCCCGAACGTCACCGACTGTGAGTTTTTGACGAAGGGCTAAGAGGCCGTCTTTCACCTGGAACGAACAGTTGAAAGTGACGACATGAATGCGCACCCCCCGAGGGATCCAATAGCAAGGCGTTGTCGCTAAACCCACCTTGCCCCACAGAGACTCCGGCACGTACATTCTACTGCAAGCGGAGCACTTCTGTCCGTTGAACTCGAACGCGCTCCTTATCGTCCCATAAACGACCGTCTCCACGTCGGCACTCGGGTGAACGAAGTGATAATTCTTGCCGCCGCACTCGCCGATTAATTTCGGGTAGTTCTTGTACTTGGAGAGATTCTGCCCGACCTGGGCCCACAGGCGGTTAAACGTCGGCACCGAGCCGGTGAAGTTGAGCCCGGAGAAGTGAGGCGAGGACGTGATGGTATCGCCAAACACGGGCCCCTCGCAGGGAATGAAATTCACCACGCCGGGCGGCACCCCGGCCTCTCTGCATATCTTAAAGATCCACCAGTTGGATAGTAACGCGGTGTCGGACGGCTTCCAGAGCACGGCGTTACCCTGCAATCGCGGCATGCACGTCGACACGTGCGTGTTATTATTAGCGCGTTACCTTTTTTTTTACTCGCGCGAGTCTCGATCAAAGGGCTGTCAGTATGGTTTGCAAATTACAAACCATCAGTGCCGGCGTGTAGCTGAGATTACCGCCGATGGCGGTGAAGTTGAAGGGCGACACCGCCGCGACGAAACCGTCCATGCCGCGATACCTCATCGAGTTGCGGGTCTGCTGATTCGGCGAGATCGGCTGGTACTTGAGGCTCTCCTTGACGAAATACGCGTGCATCTTGAAAAAGTCGATCAGCTCCGCCGCGCTATCGATCTCCGCCTGGATCACGGTCTTGCTCTGGCCGAGCATGGTGGCGGCGTTAAGGCGTTGCCTGTACTTGCCAGCCATCAGATCCGCTATCCTCAACCACATCTCGAGCCGTTTCTCGATCGGCCACCTCTCCCATTCTCGTTGCGCCTTCACCGCGACGTCGATTGCCTTCCTCACGAGCTCCGGTGTCGCCCAATAATACTTGGCGACCTTCTCCTTGTGATTGTGCGGCTGGAAAGAAATACGCAATTGTCTTGCGCGATAAACAAGGGTGAAAGACGGGTGTGTGTCGCGCATAACAGCTGCTCTTCTCCGAGTAACACTGGGCCAGTTGCCACCCCCCAAGTCTTCGAACCGATCCTAGCGCGATGCAGAACCAAATTTAGGTCTCGATGGAAACGTGACTGACTGCGCTCGCTTCTCCTCCGCTTCCAGTGGCAACAGTAATTAAATTCGATCCGCACCGAAATAGGATCGGATTGAAGACTTGAGTGGAAACTAGACCGCTGATGCCCGTTTCTACCAATGCAGATTGACTTCAATCTCGGTTTAACTTACTTTAGATCTTCTTTTAGTTTTAAAAATAAGAACAAGATAAAAAGTAATTTAAACCAAGACTAAAGTTAATCTGCATTGGTGGTAAACGGGCATGGAAAGGAGAGTATATCAACACTTGTATATCAACGACTATTAGAGTAGAAACGTACCATAACTTGATATCTGCACAGATCGGTCTTGATCTCCTCGTCGCCGATAACCAACGGCACTTCCTCGCACTCGCCGCTCATCTTATCCAGGACCTTCTCCAGCTCCGCTCTTTCCGGGCTGCCCTTGTTATAGCTGAGAACGGGCTCATTTTCCAACGGAAAGTCCGGCGGACTCGACGTCGGAACTATCGATCCCAGGTATCTGGTGCCGACTCTGTCGAACAACGAACAACGTCAAAGCGCGAAAGAGCTGTACACACTTGAGTAGATGCGTCAGATAAGGATTTATCTAAGGAGAGTCCTCTTAAGTCTTGTTCGCGATATCATCTTCAAATATTTACCCAAGTCTAAAAACACTTCAAATATTTACGGCCACTTGTGGTGAAGTCTCGAGTTAACAGTCTTATCCGTCGTTAAATATGCACTGGAATTCCGCAACGAGCCTCCTGTTTGCTGATCGATGTCGCACGAGCGACAGTACATTTAATTGTTCAGAAATTTCGATAGCGAAAATCGAGGGAATTTTTTTCGGGACGAGGCTCTTTTATGCTTTTTTTTATCCTACAGCTCTCTTTTTACGAGTCGTGTTGCGCACGTCGTACGGTCATAATTGTCACCTAATAATTATCATAAATGGATTAATGAGTCAAATTGACGTAACACGACGAAGGGACGTCTACGCAATCCGCGTGGACACGTGGAAGAGCGTGTGCCACGATGACGATTACGTAACGCCTTCTCTCCGCTTGACCCTAATTAGCACGGTGTTATCGGTATGCGCAGATAATTATGACAAATTGGGCAGTAAAACGATTCGCGGCGGTAAAGTATCGCTTTTAGAATAACATCCGTTCCAAATAGTGTCCAACAGCGAATTCGGTTGCTTGCACTAGCGTACAGTGAGTGCACGCTAATTGTAAGGCCTGAGGATGAAAGTGCCTCTAAAAATAGCCAATCAAAAGACTTATTAGCCACTTTTAGAGGCGCCATTGATAAAAGAGGGTTCAAAATACGGGCCAACAGCTTGTTTACAGTCACTTCTTATATTTAGAGTTCGTCTTAAATATCTCTTGAAACATTTCTTAGCCGGTAAAATGATCTGTATAGCATTTATACGAATAATTTTTTTGCTAAATACTCTTTGAACGTGTATTTAAGACGAAGTTAAATATACGAATTGACTATAAACAAGCCTTAGTGCGCACTCGGTGCACACTACTGCAAGAATCGAATTCGCTCCAAGACATAGCTTCTTTTCATCGTACGTAACTTTGATTTCTAATTACTTTCACAGCCCATTTCTAAAAATTTGTCTAATTAATATTATTTCCTTATTTTTTTCCGGTAAAATCTTATGCTCGAATGTTTAGATACAACAATTTAATATAAAAAATAATAAAGTATTCTAGTTCAGTAATTTAGCTTGTATAAATATCCATTTTAGTTGGCGCAATTTGATGATACCATTACTTTTGTAGAGAAGATAAAAATGTTTTTTTCTAACAAAATCTATCCAAATAATTAGATTATATAATTCTTGATTGGATAACATACTTGGCGTCTTTTTTACCCCCTTTTTTAAATAGTAATATCACACTAATGCCCATTTTTCTATCAATGCAGATTAACTTTGATCTCGGTGTAACTTACTTCACGTCTCTTTATGGTTTTAGAAATTAGAAAAAGGTAAGAAGTAATTTAACCGAGATTAAAGTTAATCTGCGTTGGTAGAAACTGACGTTAGATCTAGAGAAAGATGGAAAGAAAGTTAAACCGCGACCAAAGTTAGTCTGCATCGGTGCGTCAGGCAGGTTTTCCATTCATTGGCGTCACATGACAGTGCCTCTTCCAAGTATAGTTGTATTTCAGTGCTCACGTGACGATCAATGCTGCCGCGAGCATCGTGATTAATTGTCGCCGCGTAATCTGTCTCGCGAGAGCCAGCGCATTCGAGTTAGAAGGTGGAACAACGCGCGCTGAGGTATTCTCGAGTGTCCTCAAGATAATACATGTATACATGTGTAAATAGGGAGGCAAAATATAGCCCGCCGTAATTGCCGCTGGTCGACCGTCAGCTGTCAGAGAGCGCATTCTTACGTCTGACAAGCGACACGTTTCGCAGAAACGTGGGACAGAAAAGTGTCCCTGGAAATACACAAAGTATATTTTTAAAAAGCAGAAGATCCTCCGCGGAGCCAATTTTGTCTCGGGTCCATGTTCTGAATCCTCTTCTATCGCTAAGAGCGCAACTAAAATTGATTTAGAACGATTCTTATTGGTTGAAAGGATCTTTTACGGGCGCTTTTGTAGACAAGGTCTATCCTGACAAACTTTCACAAGTGCATAAGCATATGCATATATTTGTGGCCCGATTAGATTCTTTGTGCATATGTTTCCGCGCTATGCAGATTTTTCTAGATAGACAAGAAAAAAAAGAGGACTCGGAATATGGACCTCAGTGTTCTCTATCCGAATCACGGGAGAGACGGAGAGGAGGGGCAGAGAAATCGCAGACTAGAAAGTAGCGATCTTGCGAGGTCGCTCCGACGTGACCGAAGGAGGCACGAAACGAGCAAAAAAAAAAGACGGCCAATCATCGCCTCTCTCCTTCAAATCTAGGATCGCCTTTGACGAGCACGATTGACGAGATCTCGGAGCAGATTTTGCAAGGTGTTCTACAGAGCGTACGTTTGGCGGAGCGCCAGCGGAAATACAGAATCTGGTAGCGACAGACTGACTGCGGAAGCCGCGAGTGGAATCTTGCCGCGTTTCAGTGCTCCACTCGACGCCCGTTTCTAACAATGCCGATTAGCTTTAATCTCGGTTCAACTTACTTTTCGAATTCTTACAACTGGAAAAGGGTAAAATGGACCCTGGCGAAAAGTTTTTTTCTTCAGAATTTTTAAGAATTGTTTTCAATAATTGTATTTTTTTGCACAAATTTTCTAATTTTTCATACAAATTGGAACACTTTTCGGCAGTACCGAGACAGTTTATATCTTCTCTAGACCTTTTCATCTATGAATTCTGAAATGTTTCGAAATTTCTCATTCTATAATTTCAAACATTTACATTCACGCGCGAAAAATTCTAAGCAAATAAACGGACGTTCTCAGTATTTCCGCAAAGTGTGTCAACTCGTACGAAAGTTCTGGGAAAAATTTTCGCCGAGGGGCCCCGAGATTGGAAAGCCAATCTACGCCGGCAGAAACGAGAACGTAAGTGCCGCCACGTTACGGGATGACAGATCACGCTCGGTTTCCGCTGACGATTCCTCTGGCAGAACGCGAGCCTAATGTGGGCACAGTTGACGCCAATCTGCCGCGATATTACGCCCGAATCTTCTGGCACGGCCGACCTAGCGTACCGCCAACATTTCGCTCGGGAGAAAAAGACGGGTTGATCGAGCGAGCTCGACCCTTTCTTTCGTTGGTTCTTTTTCAATTTTCTGTCGATGCTTTTTCAGCAATGGAACGCACGCTGAATATCCTTTTAAATTTCGCAAGCCGGACTCGCGTATGTCCCGGTAGTAACGAAAGGACGTTAGACCCGGTTTCACCGACGTCGCTTAACTTCGAGCTTAGCTTAATCCGTTCTTGGTCTCTGTCCAGCTGTTACTCTAGAAAGAGACAAACATGAATGAAACCAACAATAAGATCAAAGTTAAGCGACGCTGGTTCAACTGTAAGCTTAGCTTGACTCGCTCTTTGTCTCTTTCCAGCTGTTACTCTAGAAAGAGACAAACGTGAATTGAAGCAACGTTTGGTGAAACCAGGCCTCAAAGACGACTCGGACTAAACCCCCGATTAACTCAGCCGGCAGAGCCGAGGCTCCGTAACGCACGCGCTATCCGTAATCTCTCTTTATCTTCCTTTCAATATTCAAGCAGCGAGAGACTAACGACGTCCTGTCGACGTCGACGCGGTATCTCGCCGCAGGTGTAACCCGAGAGAGACCGCTCGCGAAATGAACCCAAGTCTCGCTCGAGGTCGCGCCAAAATTACGTGGTGACGCGCGTCCGCGGCGGGCGAGCCCCGCGCGCGAGCGTAAAATACGCTCCGGGTCCGCGCGCGCACGTCGTCGCCGTCGCCGTCGCCGCCGCGAGATTGACGGCAGCTACGTCGTCGGATTCCTCCGTCTCGACGGCTACCCACGTCGACGATCGATGCAACCTCCTTCCCCGTCGACGAGAGGAAGCAGCGGCCCCGCAGTTGGGTTATCCGAGGGGGGACGCGCGCGCGATTTCGCGTTTCGCGGTGCGATCGATATTCGTCGGCCGTGTGAGAGCACCGGGCTCTAAGGACGGCGCCGGGGTCTTACTCACTTTTGGGTACTCGCCAGCAAATTCGCCTGACGGCAAACCAGGCCCAACATCTTCCGGCGGTGCGACGGGGACGGGTGGCGGGAGAGAGGAAGAGAGAGAAAACGCGCAAGAGGAAAAGAGACGGCAGGAGGCGGCGGGAGGGGGGGAGAGAGAGAGAGAAAGAGGGATGACGTCGGCGCGCGCCCTTCGTAACTCACGACAACCCGAAGGGCGAACGAGGTGCCCTTCTCGCGACTGACAGGTCCCGCCGGAACGACGGTCGGATCCTCCTTTCTCCTCCTCGGCGCGTCCGGTGCGCCGAATTGCCGAAACTGCGACGGAACACACGGCCCGAAGCGAACACCGCGCCGTCGGACGAGCCGCGCTACACCGGGGGTTCCCCACCTCTCGCGAGAGCGCCCAGGGCCGTACGATCGTCCGGAGCGGCGGGGCAGGGGGGTGAGGGGGAGTGGGGGAAGGGGAGGCCCCGAGGCCGAGCTCCGGCGCGTCTCTCTTCGTCAATAAAAATTAACTGCCGCTTATTGTTGTATCATTATTCGACCTGCGATCGTCGATCAGGTCTAAACGTCAAGACAAAAAGTAGAAGGAGATCGTTAACCCTTTACGTCTCTGTGCAACAATTTTTAATTTGATTTTATTAATTTAATGTTTAACTTGATTTAATGTTTATTTTATTCACTTAATTTTAATTTTCACGTCACGTCAACTTCACTTCCGCGTTTGTCTCCCCGCTCGCCAGCCGTACCTCGTGCAATTCTCTTTTTCTTTAAATACGGAAAAACATTATCGCGCTGTCGAAGAACGAACACGGTTTTTTTTTCCACTTATCGAATCCTTGTCCAAGTGCTTCGTCCATTAAAGGCGTAAATAGCAGCGAAATAATACTTAAATACCACCCAAGTTATCGGGCACGTCAGTTTTTACGCCGTAAACTATTTCTCACCCGCGGCTAGATCGAATCTAATCAAAATCAATGACGGTCGATCAGACCGCGGGCGTTTCTCCCACATGGCGCGCGTCGCGCAGGACGAGGGCAGGGAGGCGAAAGAGGACGGAGGGTTCGATCTTGCCGTGAAACCTGAAAGCCGATACCTTATCTCGGCGATCAGACTCGCAGAGGGCGATTTATGTCAATTCCATTTTTCAATTTGAAAATAGAATCGAAGCCTCCCTCTCCCCCTTTCAGAGAGCTTCCGTCGTCGAGCTCGTCGCGGGCGTCAAGACCGCCTGGTGTTGAATTGTTAATAATACCTACCGACTCGCAATATATGCTGCTGCAAACAGCCGCGTTTAAATGCCAAATGTGTCGGCGTGCGTATGTTACGTATTACAACGCGGGCGTGCGATCTCTGTGCCTAAAAAAAGGTTTGCGCAAAATTCAAGAGAAAAGCTTCGAGTGTCGCGCGCGAAACTTCCTCGACGGCGGGACAGAATGAAGGATTAAAGAAATTGAACTTTAATTCTAAAACTCGATCCTCGCGATTGAACGGTCAAAGCAAAGCGCGTGCAAAGTAGAAGTGAAACAGAAAAAAAAGACCGGTACTACGACAATTACTAAAATATAATACAATTAATTCTCGAAACGAATGACAAGTTTTCCTTCTTAAAGCTATTGGCATGAGCTACGTTTGGTATATTTTATTACAAGCGACCTCGACTTTTACGCGTGGTAACGCTCGCTAATGACTTTTCGTAATTAACTCTTAGGGCCAGTTTCACAAACATCGGTTAACTCCTAACCGAAGATTAATTGATTCTCTGTTTCTTCTTAGATAAAAAGATAGAAAAACGAAGTCGACTAAATTGTGGTTGACAGTTAACCGATGTTTGTGAAATTGGCCTTTAGTTTCCAAACGCGCTGTACTCTGTTGAATTCGGCTAATTGCGGTCGCTGTCGACACAACTGGTGGAAAATCGACTAGAATTTAACGACAAAACGCGACGGGAACACGCCTTAACTTCTATTGGTACACACGGCGATTGTTCTCTTAAAATTTACCTGGAAAATCGTGTAATCGTGGAACAACGTAACATCTTGAAGAACTTTATGAGAATTCTTTTGAATACCGTGTTGTCCAACGAATACAATATTTTAAGGATAAATTGTAAAAGTCTCTCCGTGCAGCGTAGATGGAAATATATACGTTCTGCAATACATCTATTTGCATGTTAAACGCAATTCGATAACGACGATAAGTGAGTTACAAGGGAACAACGGTCCGTCACGGGAGACTCTATTGTCTTTCAGTAATTTGTCACGGATATTTCGAGACATACGTCGCGCATCGTTACTCCTGATCACAAATAGCGCGAGCGAGTCGTTGAAAAAAAAGAGACAAGCACATACATTTTTAAAAATGCTCACCTATATGGCGGAAGGTCGAGATGCGTTATGTAAGGTGGTCCATTTTTAAACAAATGTCATTGTATGTACCGGCAGGAGTCGCGCGTACGCGCATCTATATGCATATTTCAATTTACGTTTTTTTTTTTAAATCGAACGAGTCAGTATTGAACTTATTGTATATTCGTATCTGTTAATACATCCTCGTTTCTTGAAGTAACAAAGATACCCAAGTAGTGAAGAGGAGCCTTCTTCTGAGATAGAGAGGCAGTCGTCAGAGTAAAGATAAATAATTCGTAATAATTTCAGATGTTGCACTACCGAGACTGCACGCAAGTGCGACAGCACTTGGCGAGGTCTTCAGTTCTCCTCTTGTTGCATTTGCAGCTCGCGCAGCAGTTGCGCCCTTTGTTTCTCCAGCTCGTCCTCGGACAGTTCGTGATGGTCGTTGTTTTCCGTGGGGGAACCTTCGCTGTGGACCGAGGGCCTTCTGTGCTTCTCCTCTTTTCGCTTCCTCTCCGGGGAACACTCTTCGGAGGACGGAAGACCAGAGTGCGAGCGCTGTGAAAAAATAGCAGAAGCAACGTGGTGAGATATGAAAACTCCCCTCGACGAACTTCATTGTACATCATCAATCATTCACGTACCGAATGGCTACGACCTCTCTTCTTCTTGCTCTTCTTCCTCTTGGACTTTCTCGTCTCCGACTCGGAACTGTCAGACTTACTGGGGATACTGGGCGAATGCGACTTGTGTCGCTTTCTCCTTAAGCCTTTCTCGCTACCTTCAGACTCCTGCTAAGAAAAAAATATCAATTTTACTCTTGTCGCGATCGGAAACGATGAGGACGTTGACTGCTTTCGACAATACTCACGCTGTGCGAACGCGATCGTGATTTGCGCTTCAATTTTTTCGTCTTTTTCTTCTTACTTCTGATATGATGATGACTGCAGCTCTCCTCAAGCTCGTGCTGATACTCCTTGAATATCCGTATTCTTTCGCTCTCCAAGGTGATCGCCTTGAAATCTTGTTCCTCCTCGATCTTCGATCTCACGTCTTCCCACGCCATTTGGTAGTCCACATTCAATGTCTTGAGCAAATTCTTGAAACCAGTCTCCAGCTTCTTGAATTTCCGCGTCTCCTCTTTGACGCGCTCCTTCTCGCGCGCCTCTGCCTTCTCCAGCAGTAAATTGTATGTTAATTTAACGTTACCTGCGTCTAGAGTCGCCGACTTTCGGTCCTCGCACACTACCGTGGCGAATTCCTCGAAAGTCGTGTTGACCTGCACCTCGAAGTTCTTGTCCTTGAGTATCTCGCGAATGATCTTCTTCTCGTCGTGGAATCGAGACTTCAAGTCCTCGACATAGAATTTGAAAAGGTCCAGCGGAGTCGAGCCGGACTGCCCGAGCATAGCCGAGAATCGAAGATCGGCGGATAGCATGGGGTACAATTCTACCCACAGCGACATCGACGTGAGCTTGCCCTGTTCGTGAAGTTCATCCAATAGATACTGAAACATATAGTTTTTTATTATACAGGAGAACTGCGAATTAAAATAATCAATTTAATGTAATTAGATACCAAAATCGTACAAAACAGTTAATAATTAAACCGGGAACAAGTTGCGACACCTACTATGAAGCCATCCCTGTTTTTCCTCTCCTGTCGTTTCCTACGTTTCTTCTCGCACTCCTTTTCCTCCTCCTCGTCCTTCTCCAATTGGCGGATGTGGTTCTCGAACACAACCAAGGCATCCTCCTTGTCCATCTCCAACAAGTCTGCGTCTTCTGCGAAGGCGGGATGCTGCAGCAGCAATGCCTGCGCCTCCTGCCACGTCGTCCTGTAAGTCACTTCCGTCATAGTGTCCAAAACTTGAGCCAGTCTTTTGGAATTTCTCTTCTTCAATTGTTTCGCGTCCTCTTTCTCGCGCTTCGCCAAATTGAAGATAACATCCTCGTAGATGTCCCGGCGATCCGAATCCCCGACCGCCCTCCAAACCTCCAAACCTCCAAACATCTCCTCGCATTTGTAATATTTGGTCGTGCTCATCATTCGGTCGTTGTCTAACAAGAATTGCTCTAAATCCTCCTTGGCCTTCTTCAATCTGTCGAGGAGCGTGTGCTGCGTTACCATTTCAATTTAACTGTACGTAAACTTAACGCGATGAAAGTAATGGCGATACCTACCTGAGTCTCTCCTGCTCGCGCTCTTCCTTCAGTTTCTGCGTCTTGTACGAATGGAAGGCCTGTTTACGTTCGTTCAGCTTCTTCATCTGCGGGTACCTAGGATCATTCTGAATCAACTTGACCGCCTGTTCCCACGTGGCGTTCGATGGCACGTCCCTCTCCCTCAGTAATTCCTTGAACGCCTCGACCGCTTCCTTCTTATCCTTGAACTGCATCTTGGGCTCGGGTGTGCTGGTGCGGCTGTCATTGGCCGAGCCCATTGCGGAATTACTATCCTCGTCCGGTTTCGTGGGCGGTGTTGGAATATTAATTGCCGCCAGCGTCGCGGCCATCGCCTGCTCGATAGCCGACTTCCCACCTGACTCCGGTGTACTGGTCTGCGATATAGTCGGGACATTCGGCGACAAGTGTTGCATGGTCATAGAAACCATGTTGCTGAAGACACAGCGAGATCGCAATGAATACACGGGAGGCTTTTGAAATAATGAGAGGCAGACAATCCGATCATCCCGCTCGACTTACGAATTCGTCGCGTTCGCCACGGCCGCCGCAGCGACCGCTGCAGCTTCCTCCGCTATAATTCGCGCCTTCAGCTCCTCCAACTCCGGCGGTATCGTCCACCTGGACTCCTTGGTGGTCACATTGTGATAATACACCTTAGCGTTCTCAGACTTGTACTCTTTCCAAGGACACTGCGACAGCAACAATTCGCTCTGCGTTTTCAGCTCGTCCGGCTTCTCCCACAACGACTGCTTCGTCACGGTGTTATAGTAATACGTTCTGCCGTCGGGTGCTTTGTGTTCGCTCCAGTCAGTCTTCTTCTCCGACGAGGATGCGGACATCGCTGTGCTGGCGTCGCCGCTGGCAGGCGAAGGCGGCGGGATCCCCGGTGCCGTTATTTGCGGCGACGCAGCTGTAACGTAAACAAAATTTGAGCAACGCGGACTTGCAGGGGAGCATGGGATAGTCAGCGATGGATATTAACCTATGACTCCGGCCTCTTGAGGAGGCGCCGCGGTGATAGGGAAAGTAAAACCTGGCGGAGGTATGGAAAACTGAGGTTGCATTATGCCCGGAGGACCTGGCGGTAAACTGGGAGGAGAGATGAAGGGTGCCGCGGGCATGATGGGTGGCACAAAGCTAGATGCGATATTTGGCGTTGCCGATGGAAATCCTGTTACAGCGGTGGGTGGCGCAATACCATCGTTCGAAGCCTAGTAACGTTTACATTGTCAGTCAGAGATGATTAGCAGTAATTTCGAAAAGCGTAAAAAGGCTGCTTTACGCAAGGCCGTAACTGTTAACTTATGCCGGAATCGGTAAAAATTGTCCAATCACTAATTAAGTGTAGAGAATATTTGACTGTAATTGGTTAATTTTTAACGGTTACGGCCTTGCATAAACCAGCCTTAACATAACGTTCTCCTCGTCTCGCTCCTTCCTCTCCGCTCACCTCGTACGCGCAAACAAAATCTCTGGAGAGGAGGACGGAGAGGAGCGAGACGAGAAGCGCCGCTGCGAGTCGGCACGCTCCGATGTACATAAATGCTATTGTTGTTACTTAGTGTCACACTAATAATTATCGATGCTGCCGCGTGTCGCCTTGTTAAAGGATTATACGAAGCGGACAAATTAACTTCTCGAATTCAATCTCGTACATGTCGCAGAGAGGTTACCAGTTACGACACTTTTATAGATTTGTAACGCTCGATCTACGTGCCATTTGTGTTAGAGAGATCGTCGAGTGGGATTCCGCAAAACGCTCTTTGCGATCGTTCGGTCACAACAACGTCACAACAAAATCGAAAATCAATACATTGTGCGAAAACGCTTTGGCTCACAACTCATAACCTGAGTTTGAGAGCCGACTCCAGCCGACTCGGCCATGTACACACGCCTGCGGTTATCGATTTCTCGACGTCAAAAAATATCGCATTCTGCATTACCGACCGAGGATAAAATAGATTAGCAAATACAAAATATCGGCAAAAAATAGTCAACTTTTAAATTCTATCTCGTACACGTCACTTGAATAGGCGGGGAACTCAATCGGACTGATGTATATTTTACGATCGGTCGTGCGCGCGGTTCTAGCTACGCTTATACTTGGCGCGAGACACTACCGTGTCTCGTGACATTGAAAGAGAATTCTAATAGTTTGTATAATTTTTACTAATTAATACAACGATAATATAACAATCATTGTTTGCTCGATAAATGTTCAGTGATTGAAGAATGATATAAAGGCACTGCTTGCAAGGTCTGAGAATTGGCGTTAACAATTTGCACGATGACATAATCGCCAGTCTGTATCTCCCTCGTTGCATTGGAGTGTCGAGCGACGGGAATAACTGTAGACGGTAGCAAAACTTTCGTATTACCGTCGTTCCTAGCTTGGAATTTTTTATCAGATCTCCTGCTCGCCTGTCAACGAAACACACATATCACTATAAAATCTAAGAATATTGCCGAGGAATAATAAACATTTACTTCAATGTATTAACAAAAACTCATGACATACGTTTCTGTAAAATATAAGATTAAAAGTGTTTACAAAAAAGAAGGAAAAATGGGATAAAACGACGAGAAAAAAATGGAGAAAGACACTATGTTTTTTTCCTATTGCAGTATGTATGCAATAACAAGATTAGGAAAATACTTACGCCTTCCACGAGTACGAGTTGATGTTGCCCTATCTGTGCTTTATTTAATTTGTCTACCTCTTTTCTATATAACGCAATCATGCGACTCGTACGTTCTATTTTTATGTGCGATTCAACGTCGTCCTCGTAACGTCTATGTGCTGCAGTTCTCTGAAAAGCATAGAAATATGTTTTGAAATATGTAATTATAAATAATTCACCAACTTCACTAACAAATTATTAATTTCTATTTGATAACAATTGTCTGAGAAGATTGTGTGGCATGAAAATTGTACCTCGCGCATGCTGTACGCGAATAAATACGCGTTGTTGTATTTAACTTCCTCTATTAGCGACAATGTATCTTGAAACTCCTTCTCGGTCTCGCCACAGAACCCGGCAATAAAATCGCTGGACAAGTATATATTTGGTAGGATATCGCGTATGTGATACACCAAGTCTAAATACGCCTCTCTGGTGTATCCTCTTCGCATTCTCTCTAGAACCGAGGAGTTGCCGCTCTGAGCGGGCAAGTTAATCTGTTTACAGATATTCGGTCTTTCGGCTATCAAGTGCAACACCTCATCGGGAAAATCCTTGGGATGAGCCGACGTAAATCTAGAGATCGTCATATATCAATACTCGAATCCTCCAATTATCTAATACCCACATCCTTCTCTTTATACCTTATCCTTATTTCCGGATCGATTAAAGAGACTTTGTCCAAGAGATCGCTAAACCTTAAACCGCCTATCTTGTTCTTGTAAACCGTTTTGAAACCTTTAGCATGACGGGTCTCCGTGTTAGCTGGGACGAACTCCGATCTCGATAGATCTCTGTAACTATTCACGTTCTGTCCCAGGAGAGTTATCTCCTTCACGCCTTGATCCGACAATTGCCGGACCTCGTCAAGTATGCTCGCGATCGGCCGTGACCTCTCTCTCCCTCTCGTAAACGGTACGATACAGAAAGTGCACATGTTGTCGCAACCTCTCATTATAGAGCTGCAAATTACAGACGCGTGATTTCATAAAACCTGAAAGGCTAAAATTGTCACGCACGTAAGTATGGAATACATTTTTTAAATACGTATATACGTTACATGTATGCGCTGGTGGAGTCCTGATTGAGTCTAACTGGCATGACGTCTGCGTACGTCTCGTCAAACGATAACATAACATTAATGGCCGCTTCGTCGTCCGTTGCCGCCAGAAGTCTCGGCAAATCCTTGTAACTATCAGGACCCGCTATTACATCCACGAGCTTCCCTCTGTCCAATATCTTCGTCTTCAGGCGTTCGGCCATGCATCCTGATGCAAACATTTATTCTCATACAAAACAGGTCACTTCGCTTGATGTCGATCGAGCATTGATTAGGCTTGCCTAAGAGACCAATCTTCATGGGCCTTCCAGCCATCCTTTCTCTCCGCCTCCTCACGCCATTCAAGTTCTGCAATTTGTTCCACACCTTCTGTTCGGCGTTGTCCCTGATGGAGCACGTGACGAGCAATACGATGTCCGCGTCGTCCAGGCACTTCGTGTGCTTGTAGCCGTGCGACTTCAGCACCGACCATATCACATCGGCGTCGTTTACATTCATCTGACAGCCGTAAATCTCAAAGTACACTGCAGCACAAACGGGGACGGTAAAGATGGGCAAATTGGTGGGATTTCGTGGAATGAATGATAAAACGAAATCACTTTAGGTTGCCAGTAATAAATAACAATGGGTGAATTTAGTCGACCTTGACTGGCACTTGTTTTAGTAAATTAAAAATATATACAGCGCGACGTTTCGACCAAGGGTTTAGGTCCCTGTCAAGCGCGCGCTCTTAAAAATTAATCGAGTCATTGTAATATGTAATTGAACGACGAAACGTTGATAGCAGAGTCGAGTCGCGATTATAAAATTAACGGCACAAGATAAAATATGTGTACAATGTTGCACTGTGTAATTTTTATTTTTAATTTATTAAACAAGCGCCAGTCAAGGTCGACTAAACTTAGCCATTGATAAATGAAATGTCTGAGAGACCTTTCTGATCCGCGCCACGGATACCCTGTACGTACGGGACAGGCTCTTCGTGGGGAACATCGACAACAGCCGGGCGCAAGAAGTCCCGCAGGGAGGGTCCGTCCCCGATATTCCTCGACCGCTTCTGCTCCGCGACCGTCCGCTCGGCCGCGCTCGCGTTGATCGGCGACGCGTGCGAGGCCACGGGTGTCGTCCCGTGGAACGCACGGCATGCTCGCAGCCACCGTGGATCTGTGCATTTCCGTTGCATCAGATATCTTCTGATGCAGCTGCCGTAGTACATCCCCCTGGACATGCCTGAGGCCGAGAGTCGAGCGTTAACTCGGGGTCTGATGGCACTTCGAGATGTCAAGCGTCGAAAATAACAGCAAGGATATCGCGTAATCGAATGTTTGATATAAATACCCGTGGATGTCGACACGCTGGTCCGTCTCCGGTCTGTCCAAAATCCCCGGGTCACTCAGCGTATCCCGTCCTCTTGGTCGTCTCTCTTCTCACTGTAGCTTCCCTGCGGCAGCGCCGAGTCGGGCGATTTATAGGTTAGGAGAACCGGCGCGCAGGACGAACGTCGCACACCCGTGTGAAGTTAGCACCCTACTTTTGAAATTTCACAAAATTCTAAAAGTTGCTCCAGGTTGTTCTAGTCCTGCTCCAAATTGTTCCAGAAGAGCAAATTTGCATCATGGAAATTTTCGCGGGAAATTAAAAAAATTAAACGGCGCTCGGTAACGAAGACGGCCGCTCTGTGTGACAATTGCGAATGTCCGTTCAATGTGACGGAAAACATGCGATAATTGATCTTTTTGCAGCTGCACATTTCTGCGCTCAAAATGAATGTACAGTTACGAGTGAAGCAGAAAGGACGAAGGCGTAAAAGATGAGCGAAGAGCCACGGACCCGGGGTCTGTTCTTCAAGGTAGTGGAAGTTTGCTAAAAGAAAAAGTAATGCAACAAAAATTTCAGCTACAAACTTGAGATCTGTTCTTTGCGGTAGGACTGCGCCGAATATTTCCCAGCGAGAAACTACTCGTCGACTGATGTCGAATCGACATCAAGGTTGAAGGAGTCGATCGACGAATCATTTCTCACTGGGTTTCATTGAAAATGAAACGAGTACGTGGCTAGAAGCTGGACGGAAAAAGCGGAAGGACGCACGACAAGAAGTTCGGTTGCGTTTGCGCCGCGACGAATATTTTTCGCAGCTGGAATGAAACGAGTACGCAACTACTGGTTGTAAGGGAAGGAATGGAAGGAAGATAAACGGTACAAGAAGTTGAGCTACAAAGAACTATGTCTGTTAAAGCGATTTACAATCGTTCGTTCCGTCCAGCCGCAGGTCTGGGCCTTTTGCAGTCGCAGCTGCACCGCGCGACATTTTCCGCACTTGAGACAACCGCAGGGACAAGAAGAGGACGGGCGAGTCGTGCAAGTTTTCAGCTGCGAGGGGCGAAACTTATTTGGACAACGTGATCGTACGCGGGAAGGAAGACACGACGAAAGGGGTTTTCTTCTCAATTTGTTTATTCGCTTCTCTCGAGACTTGCTTTGTCGCTTTACCTAAAATATAAAACGTAAAAACGGGACAGTCCTCTCAATAGGAATCTCGTCTATAATAATTAGCGCTAATACACGTCTTATGTACAACTTTGTATATACAAATAATGCACGTGTCGTCGTCGTCGTCACTGTTACAGGTGTGAAAAAATAGCAATTGCAACAGTCATTAATACCCTAAACGGCCTAAATAATACATCAAACGAGGCGTCTAATACAGATCCTGCTTCCGCTCACTTCGCGCAATCGTACAAAGTATCTGCGGCTCTATCACAACCCGGTGAACGCCGATATTACATTTACATCGAGTGAGAAATTGTACCCAGCGAGAAATGACTCGTCAATCGATGCCGAATCGACGTCATTTCGACGAATCATTTCCCACCGGGTAACATAAATGCAGTAGATGCTCGGTGTTCACTGGGAAATCTCTTCCTCCAGCGGAAACCCGTGCAAAAGTGAAAAATCTTATTGACAAATGTTAGATTAGTCAATGAAATTTTTCGCGCTGGAGGAAACGATTCACGATCAAATCTCGTGTAGTCTCCGTAAGAAATCATATTTCTGGTTTACTTTTCTTTTTGTACAACGTTTTCGCAAGATCTACTGGGAGAACATGTGCCGCATGAATCTCATTTCATATAATTATGTAAAATACCAGGCAACAAAGCCACTGCGTATATCAGTGGCTCGATTAGCATATTGTAACAGATTGGCATGGAACCGCGTCCGCTTATTTTTATTTTGTTGGCAAATGGACGTGACTTGGCTGTGCATTACACGGAACAGTAGCGTCTACGCTGACCAAGTCTGTAGCAAACGCCTCGCAAAACTCGCTGTCGACAGATTTTGGCTACTTCGGATCGTATTGCAGATTGCTGAAATTTCTGCGCAAAATCAAATCGTGTATAATCATTAAAGCTATCACAACAGTGCGCGGAAATACGATCTTGCTTTGGTGAGGCACACTGTATAGAATTTAACATTGAAATTTGCGAAAGGGAATCATTCTAGCCGATTCATTTTAACGAGTCTCGGTACAATAATAAATTACCGCTGCTGTGACAAAAGGGACAGTAATCAAGGTACTTGAAACTCCCAAACATTCTCTTAATCCATTAGTCTCTTTTACACAATCGCACTTAGTTTTATATTAATTCTTTACATCAATAATTCCCTATGTTTCTTTGGAGCAAATAAGCGTCTAGCGTCATCGTCTTTACAAGACTCAGCTAAGCTCCGTCATAAAATAATTTACAAGGTATTCAACATATTTTAAACTAATAAATACAATTTCGACCACATCGCCTAAAGAGTATTGAATATCGTTGTCTACAAGAATGTCTACAAGAAAATATGTGGTTGATTATCTCACTTAAAATATTAATAAAATATATATATATATTTATCTTAACAAGAATTTCCAAATTAAATATATTAAATTTCAAGACGGAAAGAACGCCGCTTCTTTCATAAATAAAACAAAATATCAATTCCTAAAGACTACTACGTATAAAATTAATTTTCACCACGATTTAATGATATGTCTTCGTCTTATCAACGTCCGAATTTTCATCTTGAATATTCTGCTACTCAGGAGCGAAATCGAGACAAAAATTGATGCTCGTTGATGTACCGTGATATAAGCAGTACAAAAATCACAGGCTGATAATAAGTAAGATAATCATCCTTGTCCGCCTGTTATTATCCTATACGTAATATTTGGTCAAATCATTCCCGATACAAACCAGTAAGCGATCTTGTCGTTTGTATAACTAGTAGTGGTATATAAACAATCATCGCTATTAACATTCATTCCTTCAACCCACGTGTGCATCGGTGAAGTAATTTTTTTCGTCTCTTTTTTGAAAAAATATAACATTTTGAATTCCTGCTGCAATGTACATATTTATAAGGATTCGAGGACAAAAGAGAATTAATTTTGCTCCACATGTCATTTCGGATATATAATCCAATTTTGATTCTGTTATACTATACATTTGTTTGGAATTTGTACATGATCGAAGTGGATTTCCCATTTCCTCTTTCTCTCCCTCTCTCTTTCTCCCCCCCGTCGACAATCTAGTACAGTATTACAGTATGCAATTGTTGGAACTTTTTAATAACTACAAAATTTATTACATTCTTTATTTCTCGCGCCCGCCTGTGCATGTGTGTGCGCACGCGCGCGTATATCACAACACAGAGAGTCGTTTCATCTTTGTTGTATGTCATTATTAAACAAGGATAAAATGATTCTCTATGTTACACCGTGTCAATCTGTGTCTCTTGCTGGAAAGGACCCATGGATATCTCGATTTTGTACAATATAACATAAAATTTTGTGTACTCTCGACATCGTCCTTAACGTATTTATAATTAAAAATAATAAAAATTTTTTAATATACACGCATACATTTTTATGTGCAAAATAAAATAATAAATTATAAGCTTTTGGTGACGTAGTGGGTTGAATAAATTATCTCAATTTCAAATAGCATCAGGCACTGTCAACCCTTCGTTCACAATGAAACCTGCGTTTAGCGTTTCATTTAAACGTACGCAAATGTATTTTTGGTATAGTTATCTACGACAGGTTTCGCGGTACGAGAGCTAATGCTGCAACTCGCGTAAGAAAAAGAATCCACTGTAACCAAGAATTTCCATTCGTTTTTTTTCCCAATATTTTAATTTGGTAAATTACACAGTGATAAATGCTTTCATGACGTGCGATTTTCTACAATCTCTCTTTCCTCACGAAATAATAAAAGATATGTTTTCATCTTCATACATATAGAGATCGCGATTATAATTTTAAAGCCAGATCTTGGTTTGTTTTTACATCAACAAAGTACGCAACAAAATTTTCAGACAATTCGGTACAGTGTTAAACTATGGCATTTTATTAAACTTAATGGCATAGATCACAAGTGACTATAGACAGATTAAATATAATAGGAAATGTAAATTGCATGAGGTGTAAGAGTAATATATAGTTATTCTGTCCTAAATTCGACATGGGCGCTGAGGATTGTATAGAATTTTGCTGATTCATTTGATTGCACTTGTACTTCCGAATCTTTGTGAGAATTCATATTTTGATGACAGATAATAGTTGTTACGTTACGTTATTATTTCGCTTTACCCGCAATTTATTATCTTGTATGCCAGCATACTTTTATCCAAGACGTTTTCAATATATGCGCCAAATGATATCCGGCAAAATTCCGAGATTATGGAAAATTACATCATAATAGAGGATGAAACGAGCGTACGAATGTATTTACATGTAACGAACACCCACTTGTGAGGAATAAGAACTTAGTACGTTGCGCAATTACGTTAAGTTGTATATTACTTAGGATATTTTCGAGTATCCATGGTGAAAAAGATTCTAGATTTCTCTTCTCAGATTAAAGCTTAAAACAATTAAGTTTTAGGGAAAGATTAGGGTAAGATGACCAAATGCGGGTCGATAATTTGACGAGTTGCTAATAAGCGACAGTTTAAAGTAATTCACTTAAATTTTGCTCTTTTATATACAACTTTATGCTCTATTGTCGATATCATACAAGGCATCGACGTGTTTTTATGTCGCTTATCAGCGATACATGAAATTGTCGATCCACATTTGGTATCTGATCCGAATATAATCAATTAAGAAACTAATAAAATTCAATATACAGTATGGTCAAATATTGCTCCGTTATCGTTTTGCGTTACTGGAAATGGTAAATAAACTATTACCGCAATTCATGGCTGCAGAGCACCACGTTATGTACATACCATTTCTATTGATTACTCACAAAGTTAAAAGCAAAGCATTAAAGTGATACAACTTGTATGGTTGACATCGAAAATGCTATTGAAATTTGCTGAGACCTCAGGACTTTGCGCAGGTCTCTCCATTATCGAAAGTAGCCTTATTTCGGCGAGATCGAAATCGCTACTAAAATCTCTGACAAAAACTTGCGCGAGAGTTCCCTCGCGATTCATGTCCTTGCCGCTATTAAGATAATGCCCTGATTACGCATGTATCTTAACTTATCTTCGTGGCACCATTGTGATTCAGCTTGTGATTTATAGCGCAACCGTCCTCTTGAATGGTTTTAAGATATTCTTCTAACAGCGACGCCAAGTTACGTCGTTTAAAGCGTAATGATTCTTTTACTATGTCTTTTACAAACGCAAGCCGAATATCTAGGGTCCCCTGAACTTGATGTAACTGTGAGAACAGTGTTGCGTAATCTGAAACGAAATGAATTGATCACGTGTTAACGCTGTTACGAGAATGTTATCGCTAGCGACAGATAAGTACGTCAATCTTTTATCAATCGTTGATCTCGCAACGTTTTCCTCAGGATATAAAAAGAGGACCGACCGGCGCGTCGAAGACTTACTTTTCCCTCTTCTCCGCACCTCTTTGTAAACGAGTTCCCGGATGCTCAAATTGTGTCGCCTGATGTCCTCCAGTTCCTTCTTCGTCGGCTTCCGCTCCCGCTCGGTCTTCGGCTCGCGTCTCTCCTCCACGTGATTCGTCAGTCTCTCTTCAGCGACACTTTCCACAACTCGCACGCTATTCTCGATGCAATCGTTAACCGGTAACCGACTACACTCGTTCTTCACGCTATCTGTCCGTTCACTTTTAACATCACTCTTCGATATCGTGTCCACGTTGTTAACTATCGGCGTCAGAACGGGCGGCGTGTCCATATGATTATTAACGTGCTCCACCGGGATCGGCTCGAAAACCGGTATTACCGGCATCTCCGTGAGACCGTTTACCAACTTTTCGGACGCGCTCGAACACGGCAGTGACGCGTGACCCGGCGATACGTTGGGCAAACTGGGCAAGATCGGCGGGACGCTGGTATCGGCGATTGTTGTCGCCGCTGCTGTAACCGCTACCTGGTTCTTCGTGTCTTCCATCACCCAGGGAATCGGAGAACTCGGCGGAGTAAGCGTGTACGAGGGCCGTCGCACGATCACGTCTTTCGGTATGGGCCCGGGCTTCCTTTTGTTAGGCGGCGGCCTAGGCGAAGACGAGCCTACGCTGTCCGACTGCGGCAGAGTGCGCTTGAGACCGCCCTTCGACGTCGAGGACGTCGCGCCGACTAAGTCGATATCCGCCTCGTCTACCATCATTCTCTTGTCTATCTTGAAGGGATTGCCTGGTGATCGAGAAGAAGTATTAATTGTCTTTTTATACATACTTTATACATGGAAGAATTACTTTCGTTTCGTCGAGTAGTTACCGAACATATGTTGTCTAACTGGCACACTTTCGATCTCTCTCAGTGGCGGAGTCATGCGTTTCAGATATTCCTGATAGTTCCCCATTTGGGCTAAAGGCATCGAGTGAACGTAGTCGTCGTCGAGCAACTTTGTATGCAACAAGCCTGGCTGCAGGAAATTCGCGCGCATCCGAACCACTTGGTCGAGCAGGGACTTCCTCGGTACGTCGAAGGCGTTCCTGTAGCTGTGCGCGCCACGCTGCTGCTGCTGATTCTTCACCAGCCCGACGACGAAACCTCCGAACTCGTTCAGTTGATCGCGCAGACCCGTGAATTTGTCTTGTAGCAAAGGATGGGACACCTACGGAGCAAACAGGGACTTTGGTATCGTAACGGTCGAGGTAACTTGTGGCACCGACTCTTAACGTACTAATTCTTACCAAATCTTTCTTCAGCGGAGTCTTCGGTATAACTCTCACCCCTTCCGTTATTACGCTCGTAGTACAATTGGACAAGTTCTTCGTAAGATTCGAGGCGGCGACCTGCTTGGAAATGACCTCGTTACAGAGCCGATCAAATTCGATCTTGGCCTGATTCTTCAATCTTTTTAGATAATTTAAGACACTGTATGACAAGGAATTGTCCATATTATCTGGTATCAAGGTTTGCGCCAGAGGCGCGGACGCACCCATCCTGGTTAACGCTCTCCTCAACGACTGCAACAAACGGCGCTCTGATAAAAATATTTTCGAAGTAACGGAAAAATATACGCGCAAACGGAGGAAAACTTACGGCGGCGTAATAAGTAGGCATGGTCCTTATGTAGCCCTGGAACTGCGCCCTCCACTCGGGCGTCGGTTTCTGCCTGTGCACTTTGAAGAGCTCCTCCAGCAACGGTAACAGCACGGGATAGTTGTAAGGCATGACAAAGAGATTAACACAAGTCAAGTTTGTACTAGCTTTCAAGTAGCCGAACGGATGGCCCACTTCGCTCGACTTGTACGAATTCGCGACGAACACTTGCCAACATGTCGTCGGCTGTTTCCGCGCCAGGATGTACTGCGTCAGGGGACTCGGTTCCAGCTCGTACTTGTCGAAGGGCAGGTTCTCGATCACCATCGGCTCCTGGCTGGTGCACGTGAACTTGACATTTGGATGCGCCGATCGTGGCGGTAACGAGCTGGCGCTGAGATCCGGCCAGAAGCTCTCGGGGATCGGCCAGAAGCCTACCGCAAAACCCTTCTGGGCCGAGCGCGGAACGTAGATCAGGCGTCTGCAGGAATACCAAGCCGTATTCCCCGGCGCCAACGCGTTCGGATACTGAGCGCGCGGCCCGTTCGCCGAGTTACCGTCCTCCTCGTTCTCCTCCTCGTCCTGATGTTGCGGGGTCTCGTTGGTCAGTAGCGGTGGATCGGGACCGATCTTTTCGAAATTTATCACTACGCCCGACTGGACCTTTTGTACCAGCGAATCGATGCACTGTATCATCATCCTGAACGACGTAATGCAGTAAGAACGACCTGCAACGTTCGAGTGAGCAACAACTTACATTTAGAGTTTATCCCCGATTCTTTCGCAACATACGTTTTGAGAAAAAAAGCAGTTTGTTGTCCTAACAGCGAATTCGGTTCTGTGCACTAGTGCGCCCTGAGTGCGCGTTAAGGCTTATTCACAATTAACTTTTATATTTAACAAGAAGAAATATGGTAATCGCCAGTAGTTAATTAACGAAATAAATAAATACATCTTTACTTTATACTTAAGGTCTTAAATATCTCAATATGTTTCTCGAAATATTTCTCAAGCCTTGTGTCCAAGTTCTAGTTCCGAGAAATGTGTAGCCAATCGACTTGCATCTTTTACGGAGAAGTTGCAAGTCTTAGCGTGCACTCAGTGTACACTAGTGCAAGCAACCGAATTCGCTGTTAATCCACGATGCTAGAGCTCGGTCCAGGTTCTAGCATCGTGGACACAGGCCTTTAGATCGCGGTGCCTCATCTTCTTTACCTCCGGTCACTTCGCACATCGCGTCTATCGGCGACGAGTCGCTCGCCACCAAGCCGATATCTCGTTCAACGGCCGGTGTCCCTGATAAGCGCAGCACCAAAGAGAACAGTCTTTGGTCCCATCTAAATGGCTCCTTCGTCAGTTCAGACCCGGGTATCGGCGAATGCATCGGCAACGTAAACTGCAAGAGGAACACTTGTAAGACGAATAGGTAATCGCGTGATTTGCACGGTCGGTCGGCTAGGAGGATCGCGCACTCACATCCTGATGTACCCCGCTGTTAGTCGTGTATTTTCCTCCGTCTGTTATAACAACTATAACGGACGGCTCCAAGTAAAACGGGCATCTCCCTTGGCCGTACGTGTCTATGCCGGTCTGCATACGATTTATGTTCAATACGTCCAGCGCGTGCTTCAAGGCGGCACCTAGGGTCGTCAAGCCAACGCATTGCAAGTTTTTGAGTTCGTTCATGAAGGTCGCCAGGTTCTCTTTCCATCCTGCCTGGAAAAGGACCGTTTGCCAAGAAAAGCATTAAAGGCGCGGCTCTACCAAGCTCGTTTCCAAATTGATGTAAAATTATTCCGTCTCTCTTGCAAAGGGGGAACAATTTTACTTGAGCGAAACGAATCGTCTGATTCATTCCCCAGGGCAGCGATTGTGTAATTTTTCGCGTGAAAACTCAATGATTTCAACCAATGAAATTCCCGTGAAACTCTTCGTGTTTCCGCTCTAGGGGAAAAGTTACGTGATCGCTACCCTGGTCTGTAAACTCTTGACAATAGTATCGTTATCGTTATATCGTTGCGTAACTTTTTTATACCGCATATTATACCTGCGCAACGATAATATAACGATAACGACACTGTTGTCAAGAGCTGCAGAATAGGAGCACAGGTTTAAAACCACGAAAATGTGTGCGGAACAAAATGTGGACAATTTCAAGTACCTCCGGTGGATTTCAAGAGCTATAACTCGGACAAAATGACGACGCGCTTCGGAAACTTTCTTAAGCCCGTATCAGACTACGGATTGAGATTGGGATTAGATTGAAATTTTACCAATCACAGTAAAGTTTACTAATCTCAAGTTTAGTGACTTTTACTTTAATTAGTCAAATTTCAATCTAATCCCAATCTCAATCCGTGGTCTGATACGAGCGTTACGGGACTCTAAATTTTTTATATTATCATTTATATTATCATGTACAGTCGTGCGATCATTCGGAATTTACGTCAATCCGTAAATAATAGAAATCCGCAATGCTATTGGGAGAGATTTCAGCAATCTCGGTAATGTGCAAAAGTTATCCAGAGCTTATTAATGTGAATGTTCTTTCCAGGTTGATAGATGTATCGTCTTCGAGGATTCATTCCTTGTGCATTTCCAGACAACTTGTCCAATTTTACTAGCAAATATGTGGCGATCGTGGCGCAGAGGATTGTGCGCTGGTCTGGTAATCCGAAGACCTGGGTTCAAAACCAAACAAAACATTGTTGGTTTTTCGTTCGATCGCCACATAGAGAAGTGGATGTAAAGAGAGGTGTTATAAGAGGTTTGGGCACGTTCCTTCAAAAACGCCTTGTAACCCTAAGGGGAATCAATAAAATGTATCTACATCTACTAGCAAATGTGCTGCGCTTAAAAAAAACCGATTTCACAAAAATGAAAAGTGGAAAGGGAGGGAAGAAGAATATCGCGTACGATAGTTGATTCGTCTCTGGTTCGATTTCAACCTTTAAGGCCTGTGTCCATGACGCTAGAACTTGGTCGTAGCCAATCAACTCGCAGCTATTTCGTAAAGGCTAGAACTAGAACTTGGACCAAGTTCTAGCATCATAGACGCAGGCTTTTGTCCACTGTGCCACGGTTTTCAGGGCTGCGTTCAGAAACATCATCCGAGCGTCCCAGCGTATCATTTTATCCTTAGGCTTGTTTTCTGTCGCTGCACTGGTCAACTAGTGCTCAGAGTAAGACAAGTATATTTTTTCTCATTCTGGCTTACTGCACCAGTTCACCAGAAAGCAACCCTCTTGTTACCCACCGTACGTTAAACAAGGGTAAAATGATACGCTGGGATGCTCGGATGGTTACTGAACGCAGCCAAAAGGAAGCTGAAACGAAAATAGAACACGAGGCGACTCGTGAACCGTTTCGGGACCAGTGAGGAGTAAAGACCCGTGTCCCACGATGCTAGAACTTGGATCAAGTCTAGTCTCGTGCACACAGGCCTTAAGTGCCCATCTACAATAGAGATTTAAAGCCTAAGCCTTAAGAAATTGACTAATCATAGTCGCGTGTTCTACTCATACTTTACCATGATTGGTCAATTTCTTGGTCAATTTCTTAAGTCCCAGTCTACAATAGAGATTGTAAACCCTGAGCCTTAAGAAATTGACAAAAGTCTCGTCCACATATAAGTCGTAACGTCGTAGTCGTAAGAATAGTCGACTATAATTGGTCAATTCTTATGTGTCTGACGGAATTGACTAATCGTAGTCGCTTATTCTTACGACTGCGATTCTGCGACTCTCATTGTAGACCCCGCATAAGTCCCAGTCTACAATAGTGATTTAAACCCTAAGTCTTAAGAAATTGACTAATCACAGTCGCGTATTCTACTCATACTTGACCGTGATTGATCAATTTCTTAAAGCTTAGAGCTTGAATCATCTATCGTAGACTGGGACTAAGGCACAGGGCTTAAATCATCTATTGTAGACTGGGACTGAAGGGCGCCGAAGTTAAAGGTGGGCTCGACACGAAAGCCACGTCCCGTTTGAATCTCGCCGAATTGGCGCGCGAAACTCGTGACTGGGGAGGGCGCCAAAGGCGCTCTCGCTCCCTTCTCGCGCGGTCAGCGCTCTTCTTTTCCCCAGCACCTACCGTCGCGCACCTCCGCGGTCTCCGACGACGCGCGTCTTCCGCGGACGTGTGTGCACAGGACAGAGGACGAAGGCGAGGCAGGAAGGCAGGGGGGACGCGGTCTCGTCCCGCTCGTTCGCGTATCCACCGCGCATTAATTATTCGGCGCCATTAAGCGAACCTAACCCAACTCGAGACTCCTCTCCGAGAAGGCGAGGGAGAAGGGCAGAGAGAACGCGGACGTCGCGGACGCGCTTCTCCCGGGGAGCACATCCTCGCGAGGATGGTTCGGGTTCACGTGAGGAGGGCACACGTAGGCGAAATGCGGGTTAGGAGACGGGCGAGAGACAACGGGGAGGGGGAGGGAGCTGACGAAACGCGCGCGCGTGGCGCGAGGATGTACCTTGATGTTCTGAGGTGGATCTTCGAAGGTCAGGAGCATGTAACGATCCCCACGGCTCTCCGGCGATCTCTGTCGTACCTGGAAAAGGATCATTTCACTCTTTCTCTTTGTCTCACGCGGGCGCGCGCGATCGCCTCCACGTTACCCTCCTCGTCATCTCCGGGGGGGGCTAGGTGTCCGCGCGAGAAAGACGGAGGGCAGGCGAGAGAGAGACCGATGGTACTTCCCTCTTCTTTTCCCCGTCTCCATCCACCCCCTCTGCGTCTTTGCCGCGCGACACGACGAGGACGGTGACTCCGCTCCGCTCGGCGCGGCGCGGTGTGGCGTGGCGTGGCGCGGCGCGACGAGTAAAAGCTGCGTCCGCGACCTAGGGGCGTACCTTCACGAAGGTTTCCACGGCGCTCTTGGCTACGTCCAAGAGCGTGGGTCGACCCCCCAAATAAGCCCTCTGATTCATGGAGGCCGACGTGTCGATCAGAAATACTATTATGGTCATCTTCGGGGAGACGATGGTGACGGTTACGGCGGTAGCGGTAGCGGCGGCGGCGGCAGCGGCGACGGTGACGGCAACAACCACAGCGACGGTGACGGCAACAGCAGCGGCGGCGGCGACGACGGCGGTGGCGGCGGTGGCGATGATAGTGGCGGCTTAGTGACTGCGACGAGACCCAGAGTCGCGCTCGCGCGTCGTAACGTGCTCGCGCTCGTTTATTAACTGACGAGCACCGAGGCACCGAGACGCGGCTCGGCGGCTACCGTCGCGCTGGCCCGTCGAAACTAGCTCGTCAGGCGCCCTACGACGGCGGCGGCGATGACGACGGCGTGGAACATATTCGCCACGACCATTGAAACGGCTCTCTGCGAATACGCTCTCCGAAAAACTTGTCTTTTATCGTAACGGCGCTCGCTTGGTCCGTTCCTCCCTCCTTCCCTCCCGCCCTCGCTCACTCTCTCTCTCTCCCTCTCTCTTTCTCTCTCGTTTGTACGCTTGCCGTGTGTGTATATACCCAATGAATACGTACGTCGCGAGAGTACGAGGGTATATATCGCTCGCTGGCGTATCGCGCGCGCGCGCGCGGTGCGTGCGCGCGTGTGTGCGCGCCGCTACCCCTCCTCCCGTGCGCCAGCGACGCGTCTCCCTCTATCCAACGTGAGCGCGGCCGTCTCCCTCGGTTAACCTATCTCCCTCGTGTGTTGCGCGCTCGTCCCGAGATCGTCCGTCCTCGTTCCGCTCGGCCCCGCGGGTCGCGCCCTCTCGGTCGGCCGAGCGCACGTTAACGCCAGACCCGTGCCACGTGATCGCGCCCTACGCGCCGCCATTGGTCCCCCACCGCCCCGCCGCTCGGGCGCGTAGCGCCTCTGCACCGCCCGCGGCCGCGTGCTGCACCCGCGCGCTCGCCCCGTCCTCGTCGCGCCGGTGTCGCGCGCCGCCGCGCGTCGCCGTCCCGGGTGCGGAAGGTGCACGAGGGAGACCTACTTCTCGGTCGGGTGTGTTTTTTCTCTCCCCGATCGACTTGTCGCATCACCGTGTAGCGTACACTTTGTAGCGCTTTGGGGAATACGACGTCGGCCGCGTCGGCGGGCGTCTCTTTCCTCCGGAGCGATGCCGCGGGGACGATCGAACGTGGAGACGGGCTGGCCGGTCTCGTCTCGATACTCTCCGATTGCTCCGACCTACCCGCGAACCCACCGATATGAACGTATCGGACGACGCTGCGTAGGTGGAAAAACATCCATATTGATTTTATAAACCGTTGCACAAATCCATGGCGCGTCTAATCAATGTAAAACAGTGGTTTAGCGGTGGTAGTAGTACAGTAACGGCGGCAATAATAGCAGTTGCGTGTAGCACAAAAGCACGTTCTTTATTTGTTAAGCGCGGACTCGAACCCTGGCGAGGGATGATAGATTCTTTATGGTGTGGTTAAAAAAAAATTGATTACCAGTATCAACGTTTAAAATCGATTATCAACTGATGTACGTGGATTTGTTGCAACAACAGGAAACTGTTTTATTAAGACCGACAAATAATCTGCACGCAGTGCATTGGACTGTTATTATGTTGAGTCAGCAAGATCTGAAAATAGCGTCATTTTTAATTAATCTGTAAGATTCATAAAGTTCGGTTCCACTTATTATTATTTCATATTGTAAAAGTTCGACGATTAAAATTAAACGTTAATCTTACAATTAGTCGGTTAGTAAAGAGGTTTAGTTGCGATAAAAATATGTATTTGTAAAGTACGGAATCAAATCCCGGCGGGGGTGATAAATATTCTATACAGTGATTTAAAAAGAATTGATTACTAGTATCAAAATTTTAAGTCTATTATCAACCAAAGTACGTAGATTGGCTGTAACAACGGTAGAAGAAATGCAAGAAACTGCGTTTCATTAAGGCGGACAAATAATCTGCGCGCAGTGTATTGAATTGTTATTATTGTTGAGTCGCCAAAACCTGGAAACGGCATCTTTTTTTAGTTAATTAATCTGTAAGATTTAAAAATTTTAGTTCCACTTATTACCTAATATTTGTATAAAATTCATTGATTAAAACTCCAAACGCTAATCTTACAATTAGTCAATTAGCGAAGAGGTTCGCTTAGAATAAAACTATATTAAAATTCAATATCGTTCATCGCCGGAGAGCATCTCGGAGGGTCCGTGGCACCGCGTCGAAGGACCTGAGCGAGAGTGCGGCGGCTTTCAGAGCCACGGCGACGCAACCGATCTCGTCCAGATTCTTATGAATCCCGTAGATTATTCCGGCCGTGAAGCAATCACCGCACCCGCTCACGCTGAGTATCTCGCCCGTCCTTTCCGCGGGGTACAATCGAGACGCGACCGGGGAATCGGCGATCAGCTCGCCGCGCTCGTCGTAGAAGGGCTCGTTTTGCGAGGCTCTTCGGGTTACCTGCAAAAGACAGAAAGTTAACGAGCGTGTCGAAACACCGTGGTTGATTTAGGCAACGAGTTTAAGGCGATTGGGATTACGAACCAGCACTCCCTGCGCTCCCAAGGTGGTTATGACAACTGGGATGTGCTCGACCAACCGCTCGGCCACGTTTCTCACGGCCGCCAGGTCCATATCCTCGGCGACGGGGATGTCGAGGCGCTCGCCTATGACTTTCAGCTCGTTCTGGTTAGGCGAGACGAAGTGCAGCACATCTTTCCAATGCGGCCCGACCTCGAATATCCGCGCCGCCTTCTGAACATCCGTGGGCTCGTACCAGACTAGCGGGAAAAATAAGCGGGATCTTTATTCGTCCCACGCATTTATTAAAATTATCCTTAATCCATTCTGTTGTCATGAGACTCTCGGGAGTTGAATAAGACCTAATGCACTATCCTGGTAGCACACCCGGCGAGAAATGACTCGTCGAAACGATGTCGACTCGACATCAATTTGACGGTGCCGACATCGTTTCGACGAATCATTTCTCGCTGGGCAGTGCATTGGCTAAACATTAGTCCAATGTTGCTTATATTAGAAATGCATTGGCCGATATTCCCCCAAGTAGGTGAAAATATATGGTAATATATTTCATACATTTGGTATATGAAAATTCTATTTAAAAAAATAAAAACTATGTATACTTGTACTGACTGATAAAGGACAGGCCTATGCTTGGGGTTCAAATTGGTATAGACAACTGAAGAATATTCAAGGCTCTGTTCTATCGACAAGATTCTTCTATCGTAGAATATGTTGTCGATAGAACAGAGCCTTGAATATTCTTCAGTTGTCTATACCAATTTGAACCCCAAGCATAGGCCTGTCCTTTATCAGTCAGTACAAGTACATAG